GACAAATAAATAAATGCTGTGGCCTGAAGGCATTCAGGCCCTTGGCCAGAACTAATTACATGGTTTCACCTCTTGGGAGCAGGTGAATTAACTTATATAAACTATTCAGAACATTTCCTGGCATAAAAGATGAAGAAAGATGAGGCTGTTTACCTGCCCAAAGATGGCAATTAAGCCAGATTTAAAGATAGGTAGTCAGTGTAGTTAGGTAAATCGGGTTTAATATCGAGTAAAATCCAAAATGAAGGCCATGGAAATGAAGTCCAGGAAAACCAGAACAACTCTTGGAATGTTATTGTCCTCAAGGCCCAGAGCCCATCCCAAAGAAATGTTAATGAAACAGCTCCCAGCAAACTTGAAGATACTGAACCAAAAGTCTTTCCTGCCCAGATTACTTCTTTGGCCCACCTGTACCCCACCCTTCGGGCTTTCCCACTTAAATTTCAGCACTGAAAGATAACAGAACAAAGGACAGGAATAGGGGGGGACCAGATGAAGACTTTAGCTATAAAAAGGGGAATACTTTCGCCCTTCCATGGATTCTACCTCTTGGATTCCCTTCTTCCTCCGGGAGAAGTCTTTTCTGCTGTCCTTTAATAAAGCAGCTATTTTCCACTCTAACCTTGCCTCAGCATGCTTCTCTGGTGTTATAGTTCAACATTGGGGAAGCAAGTCACCGGTAAACAGTGGTAACAGCAACACAGGTCAATAGCATGTTGCCTGACCTGTGTGCCAGGCTTCTTTCTTTCCTCCTTTCGTAGGTGTCCATGCCATGTTCTAGGGGCTAGAGGACACAGAGGAGATTGGGGTCGGGGGTTCCTGCATCCCATTCTGGGAATGGAAAATACATGAGATGTCAGTTTGATCACATTTGATTGTCTGGGGCAAGCCTTGGTCACTAAGAACTCATCTTCCTCTGGGGTCTTCCAAAGACCCCCCAGGTTTTGGGTCCCTTTTTCACCCCTGCCTACTGTCATTGAGATGAGTGTCAGAAGCCGGGGATCCCCCTGTTATGACGGTGGTCATGGGACACTGACTCATCCTGCAAGGCCACCTGACCGCAGGGCAGGCAGAGAGGGCCCCTGCCAGGGGGTTCCCCAGGCGATTCCTTGTTTATCTTTTGGCTGCTGGTGTCCAGGGGAGAGGGGTGGGTGGGGGATGTTCTAAGCAGCAGGGCATGCTGGAAAGGGCCCAAGCTGAGGGGATCCTAAGGGGCCAAGGGTCTCTAGGCCAGTTCCCAGGACCCCATTTCCAGACACCCTTCTCCCTGAACCTCTCCATCCCTCCTTGAAATCCCACCACAGTCCCAAAGAAAACAAAGAAGTCCAGTCACTCTGCTTCTTCTGACAGTAGGCCTCTTGAGCCCTTCCTGAAAGCTAGGCTCCATGGAGCCAGAGGGCTTTCCTGGTGTACCCTACACACTCAGATTGAGGGGCTCAAGTTAGGGGCTGGGGCAGGAAGCCTGGCCTGCCTGAGATTTTGAGGCTGTTAGGCTTCTATACTGCTGAGTCATGGTTGGCAGGCATTTGTCTTCAGGCCTCAACCTCAGCCTCAGCCTCAGCTCAGGTTCCCTCTCCCTGTCCCCTGATCCTGTCTGCAGGGTAGTGGGTATAGCAGACTAAGAGACCTACAGCTGGATGCAAGAAAAAGCTTGAAAAGGGACCATCCTTTTTTTTTTTTTTTTTAGAGAGAGAGAGAGAGAGAATTTTTTAATATTTATTCTTTAGTTTTCGATGGACACATCTTTATTTTTTTTTTATTTTTATGTGGTGCTGAGAATCGAACCCAGCGCCCCATGCATGCTAGGTGAGCGCACGACCGCTTGAGCCACATCCCCAGCCCAAGGGACCATCCTTTCTACAAGGCTTCTTTGACATGGGTGCAAATTCTTGCCCACTATGGATCCCTCTGGGCAGGAGCAGTAAAACGTGACTAAGCCCCAGTTGTATTCCCACAGGTAAATCACCTTCACACCAGACTAGACTTCCTTTGGTCTTCGGGTTACCCCAATTCTGGAATTTTTTCTGGTCCCACAAACCCAACCCTAAAAGAGTATGAGTTTGACCCAGCAGGTCTGACCTCCCACTCACAGGACTCTGGAGACTTCCTAGGGTGCCATTCCTTTTCTGCCTACACCCTTCCAACCCCACCCCCCCTTCTCCAGGCCTTGCAAACTGGTCACATAAAACGGCTTTCCTGGTTTAAAGCTAGAGGGCTATTGGCTGCCTGAGAGCCCACACTTGCTGGTTGAACTCAGTGCTCACAAGTGGGAATCTGAATGCCTATGAGGAGTCCTGGGCTATAGTGAACAGTGGGTGGGGGGGGTTCACCAACATTTACCCCAAAGTACCTCTCAAACCCATTATTAACCTAGGAACTTCTCTGGTGCTCCTGAATTGAGGGTCTGTCCCTTAACCCATTTAGGGGATGGTCATGGGGGATGGTGTGGCCTGTGCAGTGAACTGCCTCCCTAGACACCCAACACTGGAGTGTGGGGAGAGCACACTAGGAGCCAGCTGTGCTGTGCCCATGGTGCTGCCCACGAGCCTTCTGGTATCCAGCCTGTTTATGTCCTCCTACCCTCTGCCCGGGGCATCCCCTTTGGCCTGGGGACTACATTGCTGAGTCACTGCCAGGCCCAGGCCTGGGAAAGGCATGGGACAGGACCCCAGTCAATCTCTTCACCCAGGTATAGACACCGGGGAAGGACTCTTGGGGTCCCCCATACATTTGGGGTAGTGACGAGAGGGGATGGCAATGAGTGGGCCTGGGAGATCTGGAGGGGGTGGCAGAAGATAGGCGAGGGAGCTCGGGGCCCTGGCAGGGAGGCTCACGCGCAGCGGCCCAGACTGTGGTGGGCGGAGTCAGACGCATAGAGGCTCCACCCCCAGGAGGTCGAGAGGGGCGTGACCGCCCGCGTTTTCTATAAAAGACGCACGCCGACCGCGGCGGTCGCAACCCAGCTGTGTTCCTGCTGTTAGATCTGTGATAATGGCGTCGCTCACCGTGAAGGCCTACCTTTTGGGCAAGGAGGAAGCAGCGCGTGAGATCCGCCGCTTCAGCTTCTGTTTCAGCCCTGAGCCTGAGGCTGAAGCCGAGGCCGCTGCCGGCCCAGGGCCCTGCGAGCGGCTACTGAGCCGGGTCGCCGCCCTGTTCCCCGCGCTGCGTCCGGGTGGCTTCCAGGCGCACTACCGCGGTGAGCGGGCCAGGGGGCGGTGACGCTGGCGAGGGCCGGGGTGACTGCCTCCTTCCTTCTCTTGGATGCGTACTGGGCGGTGGCGGAGGACTGCCTTGGCCACTCATTGGGTGGGCGGTGGCCTGCGTGGGTCGCCAGTTGGGCTTCGGGTGTCAGTCTGGTAACCCAGGCTCGGTGCCGACCCTTTCTGAGCCTGTGTGCGGTCAGGTCAGAACCGGTCAGGTTTTCCCGGCGGGGCTTTAAGGCCTGGGGGCGCAAGGTGTCACCCATCCCCCCGCCATGATGTTGCAGATCTTGGCAAGGACGCGCCGGGGCGTCCTCTCTGGCTCCCCGTGGGGACAGGGTGGTCAGGCAGACACTCAGGTTACACTGACATCTCGCTGCCTAGTCTGGTTCTGCTAACGCCAGGTCGTGGGTTCAGATAATACCCCGGAAGAGCCCGGGTAGAGCAGACGTGGTGGAAGGGCTGAGGGTAAACAAGCGTGTGGGTGCGAAGGAGTCAGGGTAGTGCGGCCTGTTCCTGTGGGCTCCTTTTGGCGGGCTCCAGCATGACGATGGGAGAGAGATCAGGGACAGATCGAATAACGCCTGTGGCCAGGTTTGATACAGGCTGTGGAGAGAAGGAGGCGATCAAAACGTTCTTGAGACACCCCCCAAAAACTCAAGTTTTTTGCTGTGTGTGGTCGATGGCTGCAGGGAGGTGGGGTTAGGGAATGTTGTTGTGGCTGGAAGGGGCAGGCCAAGGCCCGCCCCTGGGTGGGGTCGGTGCTGGAACCTCCCTCAGAAGGGCTGTACTTGCCAGTCTCTGTTCTTGAAAAAATATTTTTTTCTGTGTGATAATTTATTGAGTTATAACTTACATACCATATAACTCACCCATTTAGAGCGTATGGTTCTATGAGGATTTTTTTTTTTTTTGGATTCAGGTTTGTAGAGCCATCATCAAAATCAGTATTAGAAACCTCATCACCTTATAACTCCATATATTTATTTATTTAGTTGTTGATAGACCTTTATTTTATTTATACGCGGCGCTGAGAAACCCAGTGCCTCACACATGCCAGGCACAGGCAAGTGCGCTATCACTGAGCCCCAGCCCTAATAAACTCCATCTTATTCATCCCCCATCATCCCATCTTTCCCAGCCCCAGGTAACCACTAATCTACTTTATTCATTTCCCTGCTCTGGAAATTTTATATAAATGAAGTCTTAAAATGGAGTCTTGCAAAGGTATTTTTCACTTAAGCAAAATGTGTTCACTGAGCTAGGGCTATGGCCCACTCCTGTAATTCCAGCATCTTGGGAGGCTGAGGCAAGAGGATACTCAAGTTCAAGGCCAGCCTCAGCAACTAGGACCTGACTCATAGAAATGAAAAAAAGGGCTGGGGATTTAGCTCAGGGGTAAAGTGTCCCTGAGTTCAATCCCTAGCACCTCCCACCCCTCCCCTCCAAAAAAGTTCCACAGTTATAGGATAATATTCCATTGTGTTGATATGCCACATTTTGTGTATCTGATCTTTAGTTGGTTGGCACTTGGGTTGTTTCCATCTTTTGGGGCTGCCCCTGTTCTCAGGGTAGATAATTGTTGTCTGGGGCTTATAGGCCTGGCTCAGCCTACAGATGTAAACCTAATCTTTTTTGGTGGTTGTGTTTTAGATAGGGTCTTAGTATGTTGCATAGTCTGGTCTTGAACTCCTGGGCTGGAGTAATCCTCCTGCTCCAGCTTCTTTAGTAGCTGGTGTGTATCTCCATGCCCACCCCAGCCTTCAGATATATTGTGTGGTTTGGCCTGCATGATGATGCTTTAAAATCATTTGAGCTAACATAAAAGTACTTACCATATAACAATACTTTTTTTTTTTTTTTAAAGCATTGTTCAGGGGGGATGCAGGCAGATGGGGTAATCTCTTTTACTCCTAAAGCCCAAGGCCTTGGAGAAAGGACTTTCAAGAGCAGGGTATGAGGGATCTCCCACAACTGAAGATGGGTCTGGGCCTGGTTAGGTGTGGACTGAAGGGGCATCTTTCTGAAGGATCAGCTGGCCTAGAGGCTGAATGGCAGGCAGATAGCTGTTGCTGCTGCTTCTGTGTACATGTGCTCTGCCTTCTGCATGTAGCTGTGTCCAGGTACTAGGCTAGAGCTCTTAACTGCCTAGGTAGTGGCAGAGAGAATGGGCAATCTCGTCTCTTGCCTTTGCTTCCCCTGGCTCAAAGTTTAGAGTCTCACAAGTGACCCTTCAGCACTGGCATGAGCACATTTCAGTAACTTATGTCCAGCCTGGGAGTTCAAGTGCTGGTTTTGTTTTTGCTTTTTGGTGGTATTGGGGATCGAACCCAGGGCATGCTAGGCAAGTGTTTACCATTAAGCCACATCCCCAGCCCTGAGGTGCTGTCTTTTAAACAATCTAGATGAGGATGGAGACTTGGTTGCCTTTTCCAGTGACGAGGAGCTGACAATGGCCATGTCCTATGTGAAGGAAGACATCTTCCGCATCTACATTAAAGGTAAAGGCTGATCTGGGGTACTGCCCAATACCAGGTGCTTCCTGCTGAGTAAAAATAGAGCTTGACTTTCTTCCAAAGAAGGGGTAGGAAACTGAGGATTGTCTAAGACAGGGACATGTAAATATATCCCTATATCTGACCTGATCCTCTTTGAGTCCATGTTCTCCCTAGGGAATGGGGTCTGATGCCATGGGGTTTTGGTCAGGACCAAGGCCAAAGATAAAGGCCAGGCTTTCAACTGCTCTTCTGCTGCCTGGGCTATATGTGCCTGGTTAATTGGCTCAGGGCCTTGGGAGCTCCTAGTGGGTTCTTAGGTTGCTCTACTGCTGTCACCTGAAGACCTGAATTCCGAGTAAACTCAGTAGGATTGGAATCTTGCTGACTTTGACAGCCCTACAGTAACAATGGAAGGGGAGGCCTTCAGGGAGGCCTCACTTAACTGCTCTCTCTCTCTCCTCTCCCTGCAGAGAAGAAGGAGTGCCGGCGAGACCACCGTGCCCCATGTGCTCAGGAGGCACCCCGCAGCATGGTGCACCCCAATGTGATCTGTGATGGTTGTAATGGGCCTGTCGTGGGAACTCGCTATAAGTGCAGTGTGTGCCCAGACTATGACCTATGTGGTGTCTGTGAGGGGAAGGGCATGCACAGGGAGCATAGCAAACTTGTGTTCCCCAGCCCCTTTGGGCACCATTCTGAGGTAAGCAGGCCCTCTGTAGCCCTGGGGTAAGTTCAGGGTGATAGGAGCCTGTGACCCTGGACCCTCACTGCAATATCCCTTTGCTTACTCCTCCCCAGGGCTTCTCTCATAGCCGCTGGCTCCGGAAGTTGAAACATGGGCATTTCGGGTGGCCAGGCTGGGAGATGGGTCCACCAGGAAACTGGAGCCCACGTCCTCCTCGAGCGGGAGATACCCGCCCCCACCCCACGGCAGAATCAGGTGAGCCTGGTGTCTGAACTGGCTTTTGAATGGTAGGAGAGTAGCCAGGCAGCCATGTGCTCTATGGAAGGGCCAGCAGAGCTGCAGGACCCTTAGCCAAGTCTTCCCCTTGTCCTGAATTCCTGCTATGCCCACAGTGGGGGCTCAAATGTCATTTAATCCTAAGAGTATTATAGAGTATCATTTCCATTTGACAAATGGGAAAACCTAGGTGCCTAAGTGCCCAAGGCTACCAATTTCACCGGCATGTCCCTTCCTGCCTTACCAGGCTGTCCTCCTGAGATGCCCTTGAGGTATAGGTAGGGAGGCCCTCCCAGCCCCGGGATCTCTGATGTGTACTTCCGTCTTTTGTGGTAGCTGTCAGGAAAGTCAGTACTGCAAAACAAAACACAATCACAAAGTTAAAAACTTAGAAATAGGTTTGTATTCTAAAATTTGGGATTCTGGTTTCATTCTGATTTTTTTACTATGTCCTTGGATTCATTTCATCCTCTGTGAATGTTTGATTTTAAGTGGCATATCTAGGACCTGGTCAATATCCTGCAGGGTTATGGAACACCAGGGTCAGAGAGGACAGAGAGGCCCAGGACGTGGCCCATGTAGGCATGAGGAGCACAGAGTGGGAGGAAGAGAAGTGCCAAGTGTGGGCTGCTGGGACAAGTTGTCCAGGATGGGGACTACCTGGGATGATGGGGACCTTATCATGAAGGTGCTGGGACTGTAAGGGTATCAAAAGTATTGACTTAAAAATATTTTTGTTTGTAAAAACAAAAGCTTCTGGTCCATCGGAGGATCCCAGTGTGAATTTCCTCAAGAATGTAGGGGAGAGCGTGGCAGCTGCCCTCAGCCCTCTGGGTAAGTGAGCTTTCTTGTTTCTCTTGAAGATCAGTTGAGTGGTTTGGTGACTCAGTGCGCACGTGGCCTTTGTTCAACTTTCACCAGAAATGCTGTAGAGGAATGGGCAATCTACTGGCATGGTTTTGTAACCTCACTCAACCTTTGTACCCTGGGTATCTCAAGGTCAAATACCCTGACAAATTCTTGATCTTTCCAAGTGAAGTGGAATTAGTGACTATTTCAATGGGATAATCCTGATATGGAGGTGGGCTGGCTTCCAACTTCTGTCTATCGGGAACAAATATCTGAATTTTCTGTAAGCTGAGTTTTGGCATTTGGATCTGAGGATTTGAGTAGTACTTAGTTGAGATGCTTTTTTATGCTTGTTTCCTTTTTGTTTGCAAACCCCAACCATTTCCTGGGTGCTACCTGAGTGCTACCAGAGTGCTAGTATGGGGGAAAAGAAGATAACGGAGTTAGGTCCTCTTGTTGATACTAGGTTCTGGTACTTCTGGGCACAGACTAGTAGGTAGGTGGGGTGGGTGAATGCAGTGTGCCCTTCCAAGACTGGCATGGTTTCCACTGACCCTAGGCATGGGCTCCCGTGGAATATCTCTGAGTCTTTCGGAGGCATCTGCCACATCCTTTTAGAGCCAGGAAGTAGGTGTTATGTGGCTAAGCTTTGTAACAAAGAGGCCTGGCTAAGGCAGGCAACTTCTGGTTTGAGATTCTGATGGATCCAGGATTGCAAATGAAGAGAGAACTCATCATTGCACCTGGAGCCTGTCCAAAGTCTGAAAGAATGCTGATTAAGGGGTACCCAGTCCCCACCAGCCACTTCATCCTATGGCTGCTACTGAGATCTCCTCTAACCTAAGGCCATTCTGTTTTTTCTCCAGTTCTAGGGATTGAACCCAGGAATGTTCTACCACTGAACTACATCTCCAGCTCTTTTTATTTTTTATTTTGAGATAGTGTCTTGCTAAGTTGACCAAGCTGGACTCAAACTTAGGATCCTCCTGCCTTACACTCCTGAGTTGCTGGGATTACAGGTGTACACCACCATGCTCAGCTAGAACTTTCTTTTTTGTGGTGCTAGGGATGGAACCCAAGCACATGCTAGATAAACATACTATTGCTGATCTATACCCTCAGCCCTAGAATTGGTATTCTTAAGGCTTCCAAAGGGGAGGACATAGTAGAGCAGTAATCAGGTTGTAATTGGGAGATAAGTGCAGACCCTGTCTGCCACTCACTTAGGCCATTGTCATGGTTTGAAAGATGTTAGTTAAGGTTTGAAGGATGTTCATCCATAAAATGGCTTTTAGGGACTGTGGACAGCTTCTCAGGAAGATAATTAAATCAGCATTGGTTCTCAAGCCATGGTGAGAATCAAAATCACCAATAAAGGTTTTTTTGGGATATACATTTTGGTGGGGAGAAATTATTAAAAGTATTATTAATATAATCTCAGCTATTTGAGAGAAAGAGGCAGGAAGATCACATGTTTGAGCCTAGCTTGGGTAACTTCATTAGGCCCCATCTTTAAAATAAAAAGGGCTGGGGATGCAGCCCTGGAGTAGAGCACTTATTTTGCATGTATGAGTAGGGTTTGATCCTGAGTGCTGCAAGAAATTTTTTAAACCCAGAGCCTTGCAAATACTGTATCACTGAGCATCACCTGAAGCCCTAATAAAATTATTTTGAAAAACAAAGTCCTTAAACAGAATAAAAAGCCATTGAGGGAAGTTACAAAACCAAGTCTAGATTGGAACTATTTGAAATAGTTCCAATCCCCTGGTTCTTACCCTCCTTGTTTACAGTAAGTAGGTCTTGGTTGGGATCTCTGTGTTTTGGAGGCTTCCTGGGTCACTCTGGGACCCACTGAGACCCATCTATGCTGATGGACTCAACTGGATTCCCCACTTAGCACCTCTGGGAGTAATTTTTGGAAGTGCTCAGAGATATTTTGGAAGTAGAATAAAGATCTTTGCAGGTCTTTGAAGTGAATGGAATAGGCTTTTTCCTATCTAGGAAGGAGCCTGGAACTCTACAAACCAAGGAAAGTTTCCAGAAAATATGACTGGGTATTTTTAATCTAGGTGAGCCATTTAAGGAACAGCTTGGACTCGGATATTGAAGTCATGAGTATTTTCCTTTCCTTTGTCTATGAGGAACTAAATGTAGGCCACTCACGTGCTAACCGCCTTGAAGGAACAGTTCCCAGAGCAGATGCCCCCAAAGGGGAAGGAGTTAGCAGTGACCTTCCAGAAGGCAGTGTGTGTGCAGTGAGTTGGTGACTTCAGGTAAAGAGCAAGGCCTGCCTTTGGCAGTCCATGAGAGCCAAATGAATGAGAATAGCATTAAGGCCAGTAGTGCTCCTGGCTCAGAAGTCATTGACATCTGGAATACAAAGCAGCAGGGCCCTTTCTCATCATAAATACACATATAGGTTTTGGGGGCAGCAGGCTACAGATTATGGAACATTCTTTTTTTTTTGGTACCAGGGGATTGAATTCAGGGGCACTCAAGCACTGAGCCACCTCCCCACCCCTATCTTGTATTTTATTTAAGACAGGGTCTCACTGAGTTGCTTAGTGCCTTGCTGTTGCCGAGGCTGGCTTTGAATTCGTGATTCTTCCATCTCAGCCTCCCAGATTACAGATGTGTGCCACCATGCCCGGCCTTGGAACATTCTTATAATGAATGAAATCTCAGGGTTTCATTATCCAGTTGTGGAACCTCTAATTCTATAATTCCTCTGATCCTTTCATAGGAGATATGCATCCTTCACCCATTTGAAAAAAGATGGAAATTATAAGTGTTCTTTGTACTATTCTTTCAACTTTTCTGTTTGTCTGAATCTTCATAATGAAAAGTTGGAATGAAAAAAAAAAAACTTTTTTTTTTTTCTTTGTGGTACTGGGGATTGAACCCAGGGTCTTGCATGTGCTAGACAAGTCCTGGACCAGTGAGCTATAAACCCCCAGCCCAATCTTTCTGCAAATTCTTCTAAAGTAACAGTAAGGAGAGGTCATGCAAAAAGGTATAAAGCAAGCTGGGCTTGGTGGCACATGCTTGTAATTCCATTGTCTCTGGAGGCAAGTCCCACATCAAAACTTACTAGAGCCCTGGGAACAGAAGGGCTTCTGAAATTCCAAAAGCTTGGGAATAGAAAGAACACAGCATGAAGACAGTAGAACAACCAGTGAGTTTCAAATGTTGAGTTAAAATGATTTTCAACCTGGAATTCCATACTCATAAAATGATCGGCCAGTGTCATGGCACACTCCTGTAATTCCAGCAATTTGGGAGGCTGAGGCTGAGGTAGGCAAGTTCAAGACCAGACTCAGCTTTAGCAAGACCCTGTCTTAAAATAAAAATATAAGAGCTGAGGATGTAGCTCAGTGGTAAAGTGCCCCTGTGTTCAATTCCCTGGTCCTGCAAAAAAAAAAAAAAAAAAAAAAAAAAAAGGAAAAAGAAAGAAAGCAGGGGCATATAGGAAGGAGAGAGAGAGAAAGGGCACTTCCAGGATGAAGGAGAAAGGAGAAGGTTGTTTTTTTGTAGGAGCTGTGTCCCTTCCCAGAGAGCAGCCTGTCCAGCCTTATAGGCTGCACCTTGAGCTTGCATGGTCTGCCTGCCTTCCAGACCTGAATACTAGAGTTTGAATTTGTATCTGTCCTGTCATGAGGCCCCTACACGCAGACACAAGGTGTCATGTCTCTAGCACCATGGCTGGGGCCTTCTGGCCACATGTAGTATTGGGCCCTCACCCTGTCCTCAGAGTCTGGCCCTGCCTGCTATGCAGCCCTTTGCCCTGCTTGATTAGGAAAAACAAGGTCTTTCTGTGGGATTTTAGGCTTCATTGACCTTGAATGTTAACTGAAGTTAATGTTTTACTAAGTTGGAAGAAGGGAAAGGTCCAGTATAGTGGATGACAGCAGAGTATTTCTAGAAGTTCAAGAGGATTTGGAACCATACTATTGGGAGAAGCAGGTCAGCCCCTGAGATGGGCTTGAGTGCCACAGGCCCAACCCTCATGCAGTGCTGGATTGTAAGAGTTTCCTAAGACCACAGTCTCCCAACACACTGAGATCTTTTGTTTTTAATTTTGAGACAGGGTCTCACTAAATTGTCTAGGCTGGCCTTGAACTTGCAATCCTGGCTCAGCTTCCTGAGCTGCTGGGATTATAGGAGTGCTCCACCAAACCCTGCCCAGCACACTGAGATCTTATCTGCAGGTAGGTCATTGGGATTTCATAGCTTTTGTTTCCCCCTCTGCCTTTAGGTATTGAAGTTGATATTGATGTGGAGCATGGAGGGAAAAGAAGCCGCCTGACACCTGTCTCCCCAGAAAGTTCCAGCATGGAAGACAAGTGTAGTTCTCAGCCAAGCAGCTGCTCTTCTGAACCCAACAAACCAGATGGGAATGGCGAGGGTATGGCACAATCGCTGGCAGAGCAAATGAAAAAGATAGCCCTGGAGTCGATGGGGCAGCCTGAGGTAGGCCTGCTCCCTTCCTTCCAACTGAAACTGACTGACCTAGTGCCTTCTGCCTCTGTCCTTCAGCCTCATCCACAGCACTTATGCAGCCTGAGGGGCCCCATCACTGTTCCAGGGTCATGTCTGTGGCATTAATTTACTCTGTGAATCTTCTGCTAGAACTTTGTAAAGAAAAAATACTTGTTCTTTGCGAGCAGGTCACTGTTGCCTGTAATTCCTTGCCAGCCTGACAGGCAGATAACCAGCCCCACCTCCATCCACATGGTCTCTTCTAGGAATTTGTGGTGTGGTCAGGTTGCCTGTCATATGTCTTGTATGCTCATGGTGAGGTATATTCCAGGAACAGATGGAGTCTGATAACTGTTCGGGAGGAGATGAGGACTGGACTCATTTGTCTTCAAAAGAAGTGGACCCATCTACAGGTGAACTGCAGTCTCTACAGATGCCAGAATCAGAAGGGCCAAGCTCTCTGGATCCTTCCCAGGAAGGACCCACAGGGCTGAAGGAAGCTGCTTTGTACCCACATCTTCCACCAGGTAAGTGATTTCAGGTGTTTTTTTTTTTTTAATATTTTTTAGTAGTAGATGGACAAAATATCTTTTATTTTATTTTTATGTGGTACTGAGGATTGAAGCCAGTGTCTCACACATATTAGGCGAGCAAATCTACTACTGAGCCACAACCCCAGCCCCTGATTTCAGGTTTGTTTGAGAGCATCCTGTCATCTGATTTCAGCCACACAATCAAAAGAATGGCATGGCTTCTTCTATGGGCTTGTTTATTGACATGAAAGAAAAGTAGGAGTTGGTTTTGTCCTCTCATGTCCATCCTGAGTGTGATAATAAACTAAGCTAATTTTAGTAATTTTTTTTATTGATTAATTTTAGTAATTTCTAAAACTTAACTCCAGACCAAGAGTTAAGACAGATGTGATATGTGTACCATGACACATGCTGATAATCCCAACTTTTTGGGAGGCTGAGGTAGGAGGATTACAAGTTCAAGGCTAGCCTCAGCAACCTAATGACACTCAGTCTTTTTTATTTTTTAGTTGTGGATGGACACATACTTTAATTTTATTTATTCATTCATGTGGTGCTGAGGATTGAACCCAGTGCTTGACACATGCTAGGCAATCACTCTACCACTAAGCTACAACCCCAGCCCATGACAACCAATCTTAAAATAGAAACACAAAAAGTGCTGGGGTCATATGTGATAACAGAAGCCTGCACTGGGTTTGTCATTGGACTTGGACTATCCGCACTGTTATCTCATGGGGTCACTGCTAAGATCCCTATAGGGATAAGGTGGAGGCCAACATGGGAAGTGCACAGCATAGAAAGCAGGGCATGGTGGAGAATGTAGCATTGTAGAGCAAACACCCTGAATTAGAGAAGCAGTTGATATACCCAGCTATGACTCCTACTTGTCATACTGATGTTGAGTAAATTATCTCTAGGCCATATTCAACTCTTGAGCTCTAATATGTATCTTCTCTGCCTAAGAATACAGGGGTAGCAAACTGACCTATATATGAATTATTTTTGCATTTTTAAATGGTTGGGAGAAAGTTAAAGATATTTGACTTTGAGATTAACATTTCAGCATTGGGGCTCAGGTGGTGGCTCAGTGGCAAAGTGCTTGCCTACCATGTGTGAAGCACTGGGTTTGATCCTCAACACCACATAAAAAAATCATTGTAAATAAAGGGTGTGTGTGTGCACGTGTGTTTTAAGATAGGGTATCAGTGTGTTGCCTATGTTGGCTCTGAGCTCCTGGACTCAAGTGATCCTCCTGCTCTAGCCTCCCTAATGGCTGTGACTGTAGGTGTGCGCCACCATGCCTGGCAGTGGTTTTATTGGAACACAAGCATATCCTTTTGTTTACATATCTGTTTATAGTGGCGAGAGGTGGCAAGACTAACTAGCCTGCAAAGCAAGCATAAGTCAGGCATGGTGGTGTGTACCTGTAATCCCAGTGAAGGCTGAGGCAGGAAGATTGCAAGTTTGAAGCCTCAGCAATTTAGTGAGGCCCTAAGCAACTTAGACCCTGTCTCAAAAAGGGCTGGGGATATAGCCCAGTGGTTAAAAAAAAAAATATCTAGGAGTTTAATCACCAGTGCCCCCCCCCACCTTTTTAAGGCAAGCCTAAAATGTTTATTATCTAAACATTTTATTCTTCCTTTATAAAGGAAAAGCTTGCTGAACCTGACTCTGAGGGTTCCTGAGAGTAAAGGATCCCATGGAAAGGTTGGCCCTCAGAAGATACTAGGTGCTTGCTGGTGAAGGTCAGAATGCTGCTGTGTCTGGGGTCAGGTGGGGCTCAGTGATGTTCTCTTATGGTTTCTGGATTGTGTTTGGCAGAGGCTGACCCCCGGCTGATTGAGTCGCTTTCTCAGATGCTGTCCATGGGGTTCTCGGATGAAGGCGGCTGGCTCACCAGGCTTCTACAGACCAAAAATTACGACATTGGGGCTGCTCTGGATACTATCCAGTATTCGAAACACCCACCGCCATTGTGACAACATTTGTGTATCTATCCCATACTCCTTTTTTGTCTCATAGTTGCATTGAGTTAGCATAGAACAGCAGGGCCTCTGTAAGGCCAATTTATCAGCATTCTTCTTCCAGAATCCATGGGTGGGGATGCATGAAGTCATTCAGGGCAGTGGGACAAGTGACATGAAGGGAGAGTTCCAAGTGTGTGAGAAACAGAAGCAGCTTGCCCTCTCCAAGGCCTTGCCCTGGCTGGGGAGGGCAAGGACATGCCTGCATACTCCTTCTCTCCCTGCCAGCATCACACCAGCAGTTCAGAATATGTCTTGCCTAATGGTTTTCTGCTTTTTCTTTTTAAAAAATGATTAATAATATACTGACATTTATTTTTCAACAAATGAGAAAGTTGTCAGGGAGCGAATGGAGGAGGCTTCTATAGGAGTACCAGGGATGGTGGGTAGCTGGGTTGTGGGTTTCCTGCTTGGTACTAGATGGGCTCAGAAGGGAGGTCTGAGCTGTGGTTTTCATTGAGTATGCCTCCTTGTGTCATGACTGCTCTAATTTTTTCATTTCCAAATGTGTCATCTGCTTTTAAAGTAAGAAAATTCCTTTGTAGCCATCCTGTTATCTGATTTGTAAACAACCTATAATTAAACGGTACAAGCACTTTAATTGACAATGATGTCCTTCCTATTGGTTGCCGATGAGAGAAATACCTGTTTTACAGTAATGTTTATTGTCTACTCTTGGTTGTTCTCAGATTACACTCCTTTAAAAGCACCTCAGAAATTCTGTTTCTGTGGCATAGTAGAGGAAATGGGCACATGTAACACATGACTCTAAACACTACACTTATGATCATCTCAATTTACAGATCATCATCAAAGTCTTCCCCTGTTGTAAAGAGACTACATAGTTGCACAGGTGGGGCCCTCTCTACCCGCTGGACCAGAGGAGTCCCTGTGCTCCATGACTGCTGAGGGGAATTCCTGCAAGGCCTAGGTCTGGACGTGGGAGTGTATGTGGCCTGAGGAAACTGGATGGTGGTGGTGGGCCTGCTGGGGTTGCCTTCCCTTGGAGTCTCAGTCCTAGGGGTACCTGGTTCAGCCTGTGTTGGGTTGGCTGACCCAGAGCCACTGTGCAATGGTCTTGGCACTTCTGTGTCCACAAGTGAGCTGTTCCCAGGTGAAAGGAGAAACCGTGCCCATTTAGAAGATGGGGCCTGAACCTGTGGCGCAGGACTTGGTAGTTTCCACCGAGGAAAACTAAGCTCCCTGGTGTTGCAGTGCTCAGAGTTCTGGAGGGAGTGGTTGCTGCCTCGCTCCCCGGTCCTGGTCAGGCCAGTGTATCCCTGGGTGAGAAATCAGAAATGGCTTCCGTCAGGCTCCACACTGCTACTGCCTCACTTCTGCCTGGGTGCTGACCCTTGTGCTTTAAGCTCTCCTACTTACTACTCTGGCAGGCTGGAACATGCCTTGATTTCGACATTTAGCAAAGCAAAGTGAATAAACACCCTCCACCTCACCCCAATCTTCTGCTAAATCACAGGACCAGGTTTCCCAGAAAGACATCTTCGTGTCATTAGGTGACCCATCCATTGGAGACTTTCAGATCAAGTCAGGGATTCCTGAAAGGAGATGTGAGCGGGAAGGACTTAGAGACTTAGAGAGGACAGACGCCAGCCTGCTTACTCCTGGCCAGATGGAAATATCCAGAGATATGAAAACAACTATGTAAGTAGTTCACTGAGGGGTATGAAAGAGGTGCTTGGCCTGGCTTCTCCCACTTCAGGAACCAAAGATGCATTGAAAGTTAGTTTCAATACCTACAAAAGGACTTTTTTGGGGACGGAAGATACCAAATAATTGAACTCAGGGGTACTCAACCACTGAGCCACATCCCAGCCCTATTTTGTATTTTATTTAGAGACAGGGTCTCACTGAGTTGCTTAGTGCCTCTCTTTTGCTGAGGCTGGCTTTGAATGCATGATCTCCTGAGCTGCTGAGATTACAGGTGTGCAACACTGTGCCCAGCTCCTGCAAAGGGATTTGAAAGTAGAGGTGGTGGGTGTCTATAATGCCACTTCCCAGACAAGGGAAGAAACTGGTCCTGATGCTTAATCATGGCTTTACTGCTGAACTTGCTGTGACCTCAACTGAACCTTTGCAAGCTTTAGTTCCTTGCTTTTAAAATGACAACAGGCTATGGTGAGATTAAAATTTACAGCCCAGGGATTGGCACTAGATTAGATAATTTACTACTGTTATTCTGTAATCTAGAATATTCAGGGCCACAAACCTACCTGGGGTAACTAATTCATTCAACAACAAAGTTTGGACTTTGTTTCTTGACTATGAGCCATGTTTTGCATAGTCTGAAGCCAGGCATAGCAGATCTTAACTGATGTCATCAGAGCAATAAGCAGTGACTGAGGAGAGTTCCTCTGCCTAATTCCTTGGACTCCCACCACAGTGCTACACTCTGAAGTGCTGAATGTGCAGAGGGGCCTGCTAGATCCTAAGCATTAGGAAAACATCCTCAGTGAGAAGAGTGCCTGGGAGGAGGGAGTGTGCAGCTGGGGCAGGGCAAATGCACAGGAGATCCAGGGCAGGTGGACAGAGATCTCCCCTTTGCAGGATGAAGATGTATGAACATGGGAGGGATATAGGATATGGACCAGAGAAAGGTGTTGGCTTTAAATGGAAAAGAAAAATCCCCAGGTTGGGCTGGGTACAGTGGCTCAGACGTATACAGCAGCCACTTGGGAAGCTGAGGTATGAGGATCACTTGAGCCCATGAATTTGAGAAAAACCAAGTCAATACAGCAAGATCCTATTTCAAAAAAACCCCAAATCTTGCTGGGCATATTGCCACATGCCTGTATGTAATCTCAGTGATGTGGGAGGCTGCAGGAGGATTTCAAGTCCAATGCCAGCGCTGGCAACTTAAAAAGGACTAGGGGCGTAGTTTAGTGGGAGAACGTTTCTGGGTTCAATCCCCATTACCAAAAAAACAAAACAGATGAAAAAACAACCCCCACCCTTACAAATCAAGTTATAAAACAAGAAAAATTCCACGGGTAGATTTGCTGAGTGGTAGAGATGCTTAGCATGCCCAAGGCCCTGTGTTCAATCTCTGTGTGTGCGTGTGCACGCACACATGCTCTCCCTCTCTCTCTCTCTCTCTCTCTCCCTCCCTCTCTCTCTCTCTCCCTCCTATGTAAGCTCAGTGAGGATGGGATCAGAAGGGAAATATTATTCTTCATCACTGACCTCCTGGGATTCCAAGGTGACTTCAGCATCATCTGAATCCTGGACAACAAGGTCCTGAGGAGGGTGGTCTGTGCTCTGGCTCCATTTCCTGGCAGAGAAAGTGCTATCATGTGCTGTCAACAACCAGTTTCCCCAGAGCCTAACTCCATGGTCATCTGGCCTGACCCAGGCTAGGGAGGAACCTCATCCCTTACAGCTTCCCAGGTGGCTGCCCAGCAACAGTCCAGCAGTCCATTTTTCTGCCCTATATCTTCTTGTTAGAATGATCTTATTTGAAACTAGAATCTACCTCCTGAAAGCACCTACCCTGAGAAGCCATCCTCAGTGCTTAGCCTAAAGCGACTTCTAGAACACTCACTGAAACAGAGGATATTTAGAGGAAGAGAAACCCTGAAAGTCTGAGGTCTTTGCTTCCAAGCTCCCAGGCACATTGGTCATTCTGGCCACAGTTCACTTTGTCAACCTTGCCCTTAATGATTCTCTCCAATTTCTGTATAATCTGAGACACTCAGCATACAGGTTGCCCATGCCAGTGTCCTCCCAGTCCTCATCTCCCTGTGGCAGCACCCAGGGACAAAGGGGGCTGGCAGTGATGGCTATCCCCCAGCTTTCCTACCCACTGGCATATGACACTTGGGCTGCTCCCACTTTGGCCAACAACTAGAAGCAGCTCATCATTCCTTCTGGATTATAGACCCACTTGGCACCTTTTTCTGGGCAGGGCTTGATTGAAGGGAGGGCCTAGATGCTCTGGGTTGGATGAGGGCTGTATGTGGAAACATACTCCTTCTGGCTCCTGCTCTGGGCTGCCCTTGTCTAGATATTTCAGCCAGCGGTTCTCCAAGGGCTGGGATTTTTCCTGCAGGTTGGGAAAGAGATTAAACTCTAGAGTTGGAAAGTGGCCACTTTGATAAAAAATCATCAGCTTTGACACTTAGGTATGAGGTCTTAAGACCCATGTTTCCCTCATTACCAGGAAAGGCACATGGCTGAAAGCTGATGGGGATACAGCTGCCTGAAGACAACAGTAGACAGTGTACATTGGTCCAGGCCTTGTGCAGGGCACAACTTGTCAAGAACCTTCCAAAGATCCATGTTCCTTGACTCAGGATCTCCAAACAACCAAGGCACAAAGATGCTTGTCACAGGGGTGAGATATAGCTCAGTGGTAGGGCCCTTGCCTAGCATGGCTCAGGCCCTGTGTTCCATCCCCAGAAATGCAAGGGGAAAAATCATACTCATGACAGGGTTACAAATAATAGCAATTATTTATTTATAATAGTTGGACATGGTGGCACAAGCCTGTAATACCAATTGCTTGGGAAGTTGAGGAAGGAGGATCACAATTCAAGGGCAGACTGAGCAACTTAATGAAACCCTATCTCCAAATTGAAAATAAAAAGGACTGGGAATGTAACTCAGTGGTAGTGTATCCTGGGTTCAATCCCCACTACCACTACTACTACTACTCCTCCTCCTCCTCCTCCTCCTCCTCCTCCTCTACTAATGGCTTAAGTGGAGAGGCAACTAACTGCCCCCACAATAAGGAAATTAGCACTGGTATGCCCACAATATTCTGTAGGTACTCTTAAGCTTTATAATTATTATTATTTTTTTGTGTGTGTGTGGTGCTGGGAATTGAACCCAGGGCCTTGCACATACTAGGTAAGCCCTCAGCCGTTAAGCTTCTTAAAAATGAAAATCATTGAAAGTTACATTTAGAAGAATGATATAAAACTTTAGGATGTAAAAAAGTATCTTTTAATAAGAATAATGAAGTACCCATAATCCCAGCTACTCAAGAGGCTAAGGCAGGGGGATAACTTGGGCCCACCCATTTGAGACCAGCCTGGACAACATATGCAAGACCCTGTAAAGGGATCAAATGGGAAGCACAGACAAAGCTATCAGAATGGCTGTACTTGAGTGCTTATGAGCACCTCCCTAGTTTATAATAAAAATATGAAGACAAAGTAATGAGAGGACATGGCTAGTGTTATCCTGTGAGCAGAGCAAAGCTAGGTAGTTGCTTTGCTGGTGGACAGTTTTTCCCACTTCTTCTGGCTCTGGCAGGACACAGAGCTCTCTCTGTGTGCCCACAGCATCTCTAATGTACCCAAAGGGCCACCCACTCAGTCATGAAAGCTGTCACACACACTGCCCATCTGATGCTGTCTGAGTGCCAGGTGCAGACGACAGCTAACAACTGCATGTTATTCCTGCTCCCAGGAAGCTCCTGGAAGCTCCTAGAAGGTCTGGAGCAAAGGAACATGAAAATCCTGGTATTTGATACCAGCTTCCTCTCTTTATCAAAGGGATGCTCAGAGTGCTGTGGGAAGAAACCTTCGGCTGCACAGGAGGTAAGATCAATCTAAGTTTGGAAGGAGTTCTCCAAGCAGATTTATTCTATTTTATGGAATGAAATACTCAGTGTTGAGTATTATAAAGATTTACAAATGGTACATCCTTACAAATGGTACAGGTTCCAGGGGCTGGAGTTGTGGCTCAGCGGTAGAGCGCTCACCTAGCATAAGCGAGGCACAGGGTTCAATCCTCAGCACCACTTAAAAATAAATAAAGAAAGGTATTGTGTCCAACTAAAATATTAAACAAACAAAAAACCAAATGGTACAGGTTCCAGTGATTTGGAGGTGGAAGCAGGAGACTCTAAAATTCAAGGCCAGTGTGAGCAATTTAGTGAGATCTGTCTTAAAATTAAAAAGACAAGTGATGTAGCTCAGTGGTAAAGTGCTTTTGGGTTCAATCCCTAGTATCAAAAACAAAACAAAAACCCCCAAATGGTAGAGGATTTATTTGTATTTGTTTCTTTTTGTTAGTACTAAGGGACTGAACTTGGCTTCAGGCATGCTAGGCAAGTGCTCTAGCACTGCTATATTCCCAGCTCTTGTTTTGCAGGTTTAATTTTGGTACGGGGATTGAATCCAGGGGTGCTTAACCACTGAGTCACATCCCTGGCCCTTTTTATTTTGAGATAGGGTCTCACCAAGTTGCTTAGGGCCTTATTAAATCACTGAAGCTGGCTTTGAAATCTCGATCTTCCTGCCTCAGCCTCCCAAGTCGCTGGGATTACAGGTGTGCTCCACTGTACCCAGTTTGTTTGTTTTTGAGCAAGGGTCTTGCTATGTTGCCCATGATGGCCTCAAATTCCTGGATTTGAATGAGCCTTCTGTCTCAGTCTTCTGAATAGCTGCGACTACAGTCCACTTCTAGGCCTAGTGACTAGGCCTAGAATATTCTTAAATAAAAATTATAAGAGGCCATAGTTTTGGACTAGGTTCTTGTACTATGACCTGACAGACCAGACTAAAACCTAAAATGGTCTCACTTATGCTAATGTCCCATATCACCAAACTGAAATAAATTTAATCTGAAATCAGGAGACAGGTAACAGCTTAACTTTCCAAACAGGCCAGTTTCAATGGACACAATAATGAAGTTCCCTCTGCTTTAATTCTTACTCAAAAAAAGGTAACCTGAAGTGAACTACTTGCTTGTCTATTGTTCTATCTTCTTGTTCCCTCCTTACAAGAAAAATAATTTTGAAATGATCCATCTATTCTTTGTTCTTTGTTTCTGCTTTCATTAGCTCTACTTTGTGAATAAAACCAACCTCTTATTCTAGTTTATGGAATAAAGTATTGCCTGATTCAAGAATCACAAATGAAGTCGATTGGGATCTTTAAACTAACTGTGTTGTAATTTCTTCCTTTGGCAACACATAAATGGAATCCCTTAGGAGACACAGAGAGCCCAGGAGGCAGGACTAGAACATACCTGCAAGCCTACCTGTGGGGTCCCATCCTCAGCCTGCTGCCCACCTGCATTTTCTTCTTTGCCAGCAATTACAGCTGCTTCCACAGACCTAAGGGAGAGATCATGTGCAGGTCCTTTATAAAATGGGAAGAGAAAGGACAAGGAAGATGAAGACAGGAGGATGCAAGGATTCAGCCACAGATTTCAAAGATTGTTTTGGGGAATCTCGGGGACATAGTTCTGTTGTTCTGATGTGGTTCTGTCATCTTCCAGCAATTTAGATGGCCTATGCAAAGGGAGTATTTGATTGAGGCTCATGAAAGTCACTATCAAAAGGAAACACAATGCAGGGCCAAGAGGGCAGACCCTCAAAGTAGAAACAGGAGTTGGCATCCTGACTTTGCCAATGACCAGCTGTGTGTGACTTTGAGTACAACACTGGATCCCAGTTTCCTTTTCTACAAATGGGGATAACACTGCACCTGTGACTACAAAAATAGATAAGACAATATGTGTATACATATCCGAAGTAGTGCCAGCTGAATTCTTGCAGCACAGAGTCTCTCCCTCTAGCAGAGGGGACATTTTCAGTAGTCAGGGGTCTTTTTTAAAAATATATATATTTTTAGTTGTAGTTGGACACAATACCTTTATTTTGTGTACTTATTTTTATGTGGTGCTGAGAATTGAACCCAGTGCCTCGCACTTGCTAGGCGAACATGCTACCGCTGAGCCGTAACTCACCCCAGCAGTCAGGGTCTTATGAGAGGCTTTACAGTTGTTGTGTTAGGTCTCAAACATTACAAGGGAGGGAATTTTCCTTTTTTTTTTTTTCTTTTGGGTACAAGGGCTTGAACAAACCCAGGGCCTCACACATACTAAGCAAGCACTCACCACTAGCTATATCCCTAGTCCTTTTAATATTTATTTTTTGAAAAATTTTAATTAAATATTTTTTAGTTTTAGGTGGACACTATATATTTATTTTATTTTTATGTGGTGCTAAGGATCAAACCCAGTGCCTCATACATGCTAGGTGAGCACTCTACCACTGAGCCACAACCCTAGCCCCCTCCTCTAAAAAAAATTTTTTTTTATTAAATATTTATGCCTCAGCCTCCCAATTTGGGATTATGGGCATGTGCCATAGTGCTATCAGCTCAGGATGTCTTGGAATTCTGAAGATTAGCTTATCTTAAAAAAAATTAAATGCTACCCCTGACAAGCTGGGGTCTATTGTTCTGTCAGTTAGCTGTCTACTCTCTAGCTCTTGCTTTGTTTTCTGTGTTCTGCAATTTCATTATGCTGCCGTGTCTAAAGGCAGATTTTTATTTTTAAAATTTTTTAAACTGGGGATTGAACCCAGGGGCACTTAACCACTGAGCCACATCCCCAGCCCTTTTTTTATATTTTAGTTAGAGATAGGTCTTGCTTAGGGCCTCACTAAGTTGCTGAAGCTGGCTTTGAACTTGAGATCCTCCTGCTGCAGTCTCCCAAACTTCTGGGATTACAGGTGTGTGTTACCACACCCAGCAGGGCAGATTTTTTTAAACTTTTATAATTAATCAATTGAGGAGTACTTTATATCAAAATATACTCACTTAGATACATATTTGGATGAGTTTTGATAAAACCATGCTTTTGAAACTACATCCCCAATCAAGGCAGAAATTTTTATCACTCTGAAAAGTGCTCTTGTGCTCCTTTGCAGCAATCTGCATACTATACTCTATTTTGTATCTGGCTTCTTTTACTCAGCAGTTTTTGAGATTTGCCCATGTTGTCTTTGGTGCTGAAAAGTATTTGATAGTATGAATATAGCAGAATTGGTTTAGTCATTTATCTACTAATATATCTAGATATCTAGTCTCTCACTAAAATCATACTATCTTGAGTTCAATAAGCATTGTAATAAATCTTGATATCAGATTATAGAAGTCCTCCGACTTTGTTCTTCTTCTTTTTTTTTTTTCTTTTTCAATAATGGGGACTAAACCCAGGAACACTCACTACTGAGCTATATCCTCAGTCCTTTTTCTTTTTTATTTTGAGATAGGGTCTCACCAAAATAGGGTCTTGCTAAATTGCTGAGGCTAGCTTTGAACTTGTGACCCTCTTGCCTCACCCTAGAATCACTGGGATTATAGGTATATGCCATGATATCCAGCTCACTGAATTTTTAATTTTAATGAGATTACTTTAAATTTTTCTTTCCTTTTTTTTTTTTTTTTTTTTTAAACTGGGGATTGAATCTAGGGGGTTCTTAACCACTAAGCCACAGCCCCAGACATTTTTATTTATTTATTTTTCGAGTCAGGTCTCACTAGGTTGCTTAGGCCTCACAAAGTTGCTGAGGCTGGCTTTGAACTTGTGATCCTTCTGCCCAGCTTCCCAAATTGCTGAGATTATAGGCATGCACCACCACACCTGGCTTTAATTTCTATAAACTCTCTCTCTCTTTTTTTTTTAAAGATAGAGTGAGAGAGAGAGAGAGGGAGAGAGAGAGAGAGAATTTTAATATTTATTTTTTAGTTTTTGGCGGACACAACATCGTTGTTTGTATGTGGTGCTGAGGATCGAACATGGGCCGCACGCATGCCAGGCGAGCGCGCTACCGCTTGAGCCACATCCCCAGCCCCTCTATAAACTCTTTTTTGAGTTTTTTTTCAAATATACCTGTCTGTTTTCTAAAGTCCCTCATATTAACCCCCTTTTATTTTGTTAAACATATCAAACATGAAATATTATAAATTCTGGAATCTTTGTGAGTCTGACTTTTCCGACTTGTTTCTGCTGTCTTTAGTCCTTGATGACATGCTTCCTTGAATGTTTAACAATTTTTAAATATGAATACTGGGGTTGGGGATGTAGCTCAATAGTAAAACACATAGCATTCATGAGATCTTGGGTTTCATCCCCAGCAATATACACATACACACACACAAATCAATTTAAAAAATCTGAGCTGGGTACATTGGTGCATGGCTGTAATTTCAGCTACTAGGGAGGCTGATTTCATGGGAGAATTTTGAGTTTGAGGCCAGTCTAGGCAACATAGTGAGTCCTCATCTCTAAATAAATATCTTGAATATATGCTCCTTGGAACTTCATCTATGGATTTTTTTTTTTGGAGGGTGGGTACTGGGGGTTGAACCCAAGGGCACTTTACCACTGAATTATACCCCTAGTCCTTTTTAATTTTTGAGACAGAATCTCATTAAGTTACTGAGGCTACCCTCAATCTTTTTTTTTTTTTTTTAAAGATAGAGTGAGAGAGGGGGGAGAGAGAGAGAGAGAATTTTTCAATATTTATTTTTTAGTTTTCAGCGGACACAACAACATCTTTGTTTGTATGTGGTGCTGAGGATCGAACCTGGGCCGCACGCATGCCAGCTACCGCTTGAGCCACATCCCCGCCCCCTACCCTCAATCTTGTTATCCTCTTGCCTCAGCGTTTTGAGTCACTGGGATTCCCTATTATCTGTGGGAATTCTTTAAGGTCTATGTTGGTGAGGTGTTGCTCCAGGGGAGCAGACTTCCTGGGACAATTGAAAAACAAATTTTCAGTTTCAGGCTTCTCAAATAGTGAGTATAAAAGCTGAAAAGCCACTGCATGGCTTCCTGTGCTTTCAGAGTTTTAGAGAGATATTCCTCCCTCTTCAGCCAGGGCCAAGGTCAATGAATAAGAGCTTCCTGCTGCAGTGTTGAGTGTATTTGCAGTTCATTTGTGCACTAGGGCAGAGGCCTTTAGGGACTCAAGCTTTATATGGAGGTCTCCTACTAAATTTTTTTTCCTATAAAGCCCAGGCCTTTGGCTTTGTCTTTTATCTCTGGCACCCCTCCTAGCCCCATAAATGGAGGCTTCAGAGTACCAAACTTTGCACTTCAGGTGCTTTTTCTCTGGATTTTGGCTTTTACTTCATTTTTTTTTTTTTTTCTGTTGGTAGAGATCAAACCCAGGGCTTTGTGTGTGCTAAGCAAGGGCTCAACTACTGAGTTCTACCACCAGCCCTAGCTTTTTTTTTTTTTTTTTTCAACTTTTGACCACTTAAGGTTACTTTTTTTTTCTTCTTTTCTTTCTTTGTTTTTTTTGGTACCAGGAATTGAACCCAGGGGCACTTAATAAACACTGAGTCACATGTCCAGCCTATTTATCTATCTATCTATCTATCTCTATTTTTTTTTAGAGAGGGAGAGAGAGAATTTTTTTTAATATTTATTTTTTTAGTTCTCAGTGGACACAACATCTTTGTTTGTATGTAGTGCTGAGGATCGAACCCGGGCTGGCATCGAGCACGCTACTGCTTGAGCCACATCCCCAGCCCCTACAATTCTTATTACACATATAGAGCACAATTTTTCATATCTTTGTATAAAGTATGTTCACGCCGGTTCATGTCTTTATACATGTACTTGTGGTTTTTTTTTTTTTGGCATTACAATTCTTATTACACATATATACCACAATTTTTCATATATTTGTTTGTATATAAAGTAGGCTAACAGCTCATTAGTTCATCTGAAATATTATAGCTGGCATTTTTAGTTATTTTTAGGGGGAGGACGGCTCAGGGTGTTTAATCTGCCACACTGTAAAACGTGGAAATCTAATGATTTCTCCATTGTATACTTCCACCATCCAATCAAGATGAAAACAGGACAAGATAACGTACTCCTTTCAAATCACTGTACCTGAGTGACAGCTCTGAAACCTGTCCCTGTAGCAGATTTAATTTTTGGACATGGCGTCTACAGTCAGCACCAGAACCCTCACCATATACCTGAGAAAGAAAAACATATATTTAGTTTAAAAAGTGTTGCCAGAATGCAAAGAAACAGATATATTTGAGATGTACCTCATGGAAAACCAAACTGTATTATGCAAGGCCCCAAAATGCTTGAAGCAGCATGCAGGAAATCTAATGACTGGCTGCTGTTTCTAGAGTGATTTATAAACAGGCTCTGCAGCCAGTTTAGGTCTAGCTGGCTGCCTCACTAGCACCCTGAACTCTTATCTACCAAAGCAACCCAAAGCCCTATGCAAAATAGTTAATGAATTCCTAGTTCAATGAAGAAGCATATAATGGAATTTTCCCAGACAATGCTCCATCTATTTCACTTAATAAAAAGGGTCACAAGAGAAGTAACACAAATTGCCAAAAATATATAAAATTATGCTTACCCTAATTGATAATTAAAGGAATACAAAATAAAATGACATGCCTTTTCCCACATAGCAGTCACCCATTTGTTCAATAAATATTTACTGAGTACCTATTATGTGGTAGGCCCTGGTCTAAGTGTGGATAATACTATGCAGCAGTGGACAAAACTTACCGTCACCAACGAGCTCTTTCTAGCAAGAGGGGACATAATAAATTAGTAAAACATCTGGCTACAAGTCAGTAACAAATATTCTCAGGAAAATAAGGCAACAAAATAGGATAGGGCTGAATGGGGGGCAATGTGTGCAAAATTTTATGTTGGGCATTCCATGGTCAAGAAATGAATCACTGAGAAGATGACATCTGAACACAAATAGGAAGACATGTGGGAGCAAGCCATGAAAATGTCAGGAAGAACATTCTAGCAAATATAATGAAACAGAAATGAGTGCAGAGACCCAGAGACTGACATGTGGAGTTAAAGTGAGGGGCCAGCTGAGAGGCCTGAGGGGAAGGTGGTAGGTGATGAAATTTTGGAGCATGAACTGGTGAGTTCCACCATAGGTAGAATCAGCTTTACAGGCCTGAGAACTGCTATATTGTTGCCATCTTGAAATTCTTTTCTTTTTGAGACTGAGACTTGCTATGTCACCCAAGCTGGCCTTAAGTTTCTTGGCTCAGTGACCCTCCTGCTTCAGATTCCTAGTCAATGAAGAAGCAAATAATGGCATTTTCCCACACACTGCTCCATCTATTTCACTTCATGGAGGAACAGGAACCTAAGGAGCAGGAGCTCTGTATCTGGTGAACTTAGTGAGAGAGAAGAGGATCCTGGCTGTGGAATGTTGGGGCTCCATGAGAAACATCTTCTGCAGGGCTGGGCCCACCTGCTTTCTGTTTATCAGAACATACCTTCAAAAGGGACTGCTTCTCTCCACAAGCCTTGCATGTCCATTTGAGACTTTTTTTCACCTACAATGAAATTTCAGAAATATAGCTTAGACAATTATATAAAACAGGACAGAATTGGGCGAGAAATAACTTAGCTATACCCCCAGCCCTGATGGTGGCATTTTTTTTTTTTAAAGAGAGAGTGAGAGAGGAGAGAGAGAGAGAATTTTTAATATTTATTTTTTAGTTCTCAGCGGACACATCTCTGTTGGTATGCGGTGCTGAGGATCGAACCCGGGCCGCACGCATGCCAGGCGAGCGCGCTACCGCTTGAGCCACATCCCCAGCCCCTGATGGTGGCATTTTAAAAAAATATTTTCTTAGTTGTAGATGGACACAATAACTTTATTTTATTCATTGATTTTTATGTGGTGCTGAGAATTGAACCCAGTGCCTCACATATGCTAAGCAAGTGCTCTACCACTGAGCCACAACCCCAGCCCTGAAGGTGGCATTTTTAAGAGAAAAGAATAAACTATTTAATAAGTGGTTCTGGAAAGACTGGCCATCCATGTGAAACAAAATCAAGTTAGTTTTCTGCCGTGTGTTTTTTTTTGTTTGTTTTTTGTTTTTATTGAACCCAAGGGCACTTAACCACTGAGCACATCCCAGCTCTTCTTCTTTTTTTTTTTTTTTTTTAATTTTTAAATTTTGAGACAAGGTCTTGCTGCATTGCTTAGGGCCTTTCGAAGTTGCTGAGGCCGACTTTGAACTGGCGATCCTCTTGCCTCAGCCTCTTAAATTACTGGGATGTAATAAATATTTATCTCTGTAGGGCTGGGGATGTGGCTCAAGCGGCAGCGCGTTTGCCTAGCGTGCATGCGGCCCGGGTTCGATCCTCAGCACCACATACAAACGAAGATGTTGTGTCCGCCAAGAACTAAGAAAAAATAAATAAATGTTAAAATTAAAATGAATATTGAAAAAATAAATAAATAAATATTTATCTCTGTAATAAAATAAATGTTACATCTGTATCTCTCTATATATCATATCTATATAATTATGTATACATGAACATATTTATATGTACTTTACAACCCACGATGAAAATTATTATATCTTCAAAAGGTAACACAGCCTTTATAAAAGCAAACATCTAAAGATAATGGGTGAAAAAGGACAGTCCATTCAAAATAGCAACAAGAGGGCTGAGGATGAAGCTCAGTGGTAGATTGCTTGTCTAGCATGCACAAGGCCCGTGTTCAATCCCTAGCACCTTAAAAACAAAACAAATTATGATTAATATGATTTTAATACAAAGATTCTAAGGACAAACAGCATTTACTAAAAATTTGAGTGGATATATTCTATGACTTGGCTATTTTTTTTTTTTTTTTTTGTGGTACTGGGGAGGGAACTATGAGCTATGGCCTTGTATCAGGACTTAGCAATTCTACCTTTCAGGATCTACCTAAAAACACCACAAAACAAATCCTGTGCATTTTCTATGGGTATATATGCAAGTAAGAAATACATCATTGAAAAAGTCTGGGGCTGGGTTTAGTGGCACACAACTGTAATCCCAGTGGCTCTGGAGGCTGTTGCAGGAGGACAGTGAGTTCAAAGTTAGCTTCAGCAACTTAGCAAGGCCACAGCAACTCAATGCGACTCTGTCTCAAAATTAAAAATAAAAAGGGCTGGGGATGTGGCTCGGTAATTAAGCGCCCCTGGATTCAATCCCTAGTACTAAAAAAAAAAAAAAAAAAAAGAGCCTGGGCCAGGCTTGGTGACACATACCCTCATCCCAGCTACTCAGGAAGCTGGGATGGCAAGTTCAAGGCCAGCCTTGGCAACTTAGCAAGACCTGGGTCTCAAAATAAAACTACAAAAAATAGGGTTGGGGATTTAGTTCAGTGATAGAGCATTTGCTTAATGTGTGAGCCCCTGGGTTTAATCCCCAGTATTTGGGGAATAAAATGTCTGGAAAGACACATATTACTGGTAACTGATTCTGGGAAGCCAGTAAGATAAAAACAGGATCTTTGCAATTGTATAGGCGTGGGTTTGCCATTTATTCGATGGCAAATCCACTTGATTTCTCTGGATTCCAGCATTCTTAGAGGCTGCTGAAATTAAACGAGATGTGTGAAACTGCCCAGCACACAGAAGACTTGTAATTAACAGGTTGACTTCCTCTCCTCAACACTCCTCCACCAAGCGTCCTATTGGCGATTGAACCCAGCAGTGTTTTACCACTGAGCTATATCCTCAGGTCTTTTTATTTTGAGATAGTATCCCACTAATTTGCCCAGGCTGGCCTTGAACTTGAGATCCTTCTGCCTCAGTCTCCTGAGTTGCTGGGAGTACATGTGTGCATCACTGTACCCAGATATTCTCATCCCTTTTTGAGACAGGGTTTTGCTAAATTGCTCAGGCTGGTCTCAAACTTGTGATCCTCCTGCCTCAGCCTACCAAGTTGCTGGGATTACAGGTGTGTGCCACCACAGTCACTCTCCCTCTCTTTCAAATCATTTTTTAAAATTACATATATATATATTTATTTTTACTTATAGATGGACACAATGTCTTTATTTTACTTTATGTGGTGCTGAGGATCAAACCCAGTGCCTTACGCATGCTAGGCAAGCGCTCTGCCTCTGAGCCACAACCCCAGCCCATCAAATCATCTTTCATAGAGTTAAAAATGAGCATGGGCATGCATGACAGTATATGTGTAATGATTAAAAAATGCAAATGATTTCCATTTATTCTTAACTCTAAAATACAGTCCAAAAAAAAAACCACCTAAGTTTCTGAGCCCCTACAAAGTTCCATTACACGCAAACTTACAGATGCATATTCAGCATCTTATTGTCTTTAATACATATTTTAAGGAAGTTTGATGCTATTCTTTCTCAAGGAATGGCAGATTAATGGGTAACTGGGAAGAAGAGGAAACTATCAGAGGTAGATACACAGTGTTAGTTGACTTCAAAGTAGGGCACAAACCAGAAAAGATTAGGTTAAATTATATCCTCTGTCTTGTGTGCTCAAAGTCAGGAAAGCAAACAGATTTTAGACATATCGACCATTTAAAACTGGAGGCGTCTGTGGGTATGCTTAAACTGGAGGCAGAGGCAAACTAGTGACACCAGAGGGCGTCCAGGCGTAGACCAAGGTCATTTCAACGGTACTTGTTCACACCAGTGCCATTCCCATGGCTGCATCTTTAGACTGAGTTCTAAAAACAGTTGTTAGAATAGATCCCCTTTGAAATTAAAAGCAAACTTCCTGATAACTGATTTTCTGTATCCTATACTTCCTTAGTAAAGTACAGATGCAAAGGAAGCCTGACGTATTCTCTAGGTACTGCCTAGCTAAATTTACACATGAACATCACCTGGCTTTTGTAAACCCCCGTTGGACCAGCTGAGAAGTAATCTAGCAGTTTCTACCAGCGGCCTGCGTAAGCCTGCCAGCCGGGATCCAGGCAGGTTCCTTGGGCTTCCCTGCAGCAACACGCTCCCTTTGTAATTAAATTAAGAAAGAGCCACTGCCCTGCATAAAGGATGCTATCTTCAGGGTGAGCATCCCAATTCCCTGCAGGAATTCATGAAAAGCCACCTCAGCAAAAACGATTATTTCTGGTTTCTACAACAATCAGGCATAAAATAAAAACAAAAGCTCAGAACGACGTTATGGGTAAGCGACACCAAATAACACCCAGTCCTCAGCACTGTCACGTCTTCGGGCTCCAAATACACCCGCGGCCCGTCACATCACACCAGCCATCCCGCGCGGGAGGAGGGGTAAGCCGGCGCTTGCCCCACCTGGTGCGCCTGGAAGAGGCGGCAGCTGCAGCATCGCAGGACCCGAGACTGCTGCGACGGCGCCATGACGGTCTCCGTCGCCACTTGCCGCGCGCTTGCGCCCCACGCTCACATCTCGGCTCCGCCCTCTGACCCGGCTCGGCTCCTCTAGGCACCAGCACCACTTGGTTTGCTCATGCGCCCCGCGCTCCCGTCTTCCCAGGCTCCGCCTCTCTCGGAGGATTTGGCCCCTTTGGGTCCCAGTGCCGCTGACCTTGCTTGTGTGCGTCACTCAGGCCCGCCCAGGCCCTGCGGCTTCCCCGCCCCCGCGGGCTACTTTCGGGCCTCTTTAGCCTCAGGCTTATCTTGGCGGTTACTTTGTGGTACGTTTGTCTTGCCGGGGACTCAGGCCCCGCTATCCTGGGACTAGCTCAAGAGCAGGCCGCCAACCCGCGATTTGATGATTTCCCCTGCCTGCTCTGGTCTTTCTCTCCTTTCCCCTTTCTCTCTATGTTGACTGAGCCCTGGGACGGCTTGCCACGACTACTTGCCCAGTCATTTTTGTTAAGGTAGCTGGTGCAAATATCCAGACACAGCTCTGAGTCAAGCAAAGGTTTATTGACAAGAGAATATCTGCCGGGCTGCCCTTCTGCAAGGTGCAGCAGCCTGCTGAAAAAAACTTCTTAACTATATACTCCTGTACAATGAAGGAGCCAGAAAATAACCCTTTTGGTCTTGTGATTGTTACTTGGCGCGGTTTCAGTTGTTAGGGACTCTTTGGGGTGGGCTGAACCAGAAGGTGGTGCCTGGATGCGCTTTTCAAAATGGAGTTACTTTGGCCCAAGGACCTAACGCTTTTTACATTTTTATTTTGAGACAGTGTCTGAGTTGCTTGGGACTTGCTAAATTTCTGAGACTTGCCCTGGAATTATCCGTGTGGGCCAACATACCCAGTCAGTTCTATTCTGTTTCTTCCTGTGCTTGTTGGAAAATTTGAAGTTTCAAGGACAGGATAACCACTGCTGTCTACCTACAAGGGTAGCTCTGCTGCTAAAAGTTGCAGAGAGGGAGACAGAAGGGGCCTTCCTGTTCCAGCCCACTCCGCTGGTTCTGTGGTTCGAAAATGTGGGACATCTGGTTAGAAGTGTGCAGTCAATCTTTGAGCCAGAGCGCTATGGCAGAAGGGCCGGAGGACATAATCCCAGGAAAACAGCTCACCAGCTCCACATGAAAAGGAAGTTGAAAATGAAAAACAGTCCCTCCTGCAGTCCCCAGAGAAAGCTCTATTTGGAAGGTGGAGGAAGGAGTTCAACTTATGTGTCTCAGCCCCACCAGGACCCTAGTGCCAGCTGGCCAAGGCATTCATGCCTGACTTACAACATAAACTATCTTTTCTTTAAAAAAATTTTTTTTGTAGTTGTAGATGGACAGAATGCCTTTATTTTATTTGTTTATTTTTATGTGGTGCTAAGGATTCAACCCAGTGCCTTACATATGCTAGGCAAGCACTCTGCCATTGAGCTATAACCCTAGCCCAACATAAACTATCTTGTTAAAAAAAATTTATAATACCCAGTTCTAACAAAGATTTGGTTAGAAAGGTTCTGCTTTATAAAATGCTGGTAGAGGAGTAAAATAGAAAACAAAACAGAGACCATCAATGGTAAGAGTCACAATTACCAAAACCTAAGAAAAAAAAAAAACCCATGTAACACAGACAGATTTATTATGTACTAGTGACTACTGAAGTCTAACAGGAAAAAAAAAAAAAGGGAATAAATGTTCTGAAGAATAGTTGCTCTCCATAAATGGACCACAATGCAGGTCCATTACAGAGTTTTGAGTTTGAAGTGAAAGTGCACATGCATTATTAGGAAGTGACAGCCAGGTGGCGCTTACCTGTAATCCCAGCAATTCCAGAGGCTGGGGTAGGAGGATCTTGAGTTCAAAGCTATCCTCAGCAATTTAACGAGGCCGTAAGCAACTCAGTAAGAACCTGTCTCTAATAAAATATAAAAAAGGACTGGGGATGTGACTCAGTGGTTGAGAACCCCTGGGTTCAGTCCCTGGTACCAATATATATATATCGGGAAGTGACATCTTTGCTTGGCCAAACTTTGGTCAGGCTTCTGAATACTCTCCTCTGCACTTCTTTCCAGTTTTAACAAAGAACTCTGCTAAGTCAGTTTATCAAGAACTGCTTCCTTTCCATCATCAACATCTGATCAGTATCTTCACAATCCGCCCCCCTCCCCGCCATCCCCAAGGTAAGGTCTAATCAAGCTGGCGAGTCTTCAGCAAGAATCCCGTTAGGTCTGTGTAGTCAGAATTCTCCTTATTCACCTGTTTCCTCCTAGTAATTTTCCATCTGTCGGCCTCCGGCTATAAATTCCCATCTGCCCATGCTGAATTGGAAGTTGAGCCCAGTCTCTCTCCCCCATTTCCAGACCCCATTGCAGTGGTCCCTATACTTTCTTCTTCTTTTTTTTTTTTTTTTTTTGTACCAGGAATTGAACCCAAGGGTGTTTAATAACTGAGCCACATTCCCAGCCCTTTTTTAATTTTTTTATGTTGAGACATGATCTTGCTAAGTTGTCTAATGCCTTGCTAAATTGCTGAGGCTGGCTTTGAATTTGCGATCCTCTTGCCTCAGCCTCCCAAATTGCTGGGATTACAGGTGTGGGCCTACTGTCACTGTGCTTGGCCTCTGGCCATACACCTAGTCTGATAGTCTTGAATAAAGTCTTCCTTGCTGTGTTTTGTAAGCATAAAATGATGGGAGTAGACCTCAACAGATTCAGGGAAACCATTTATTGTTCTCCAGGTACTGAATTCGAAAATGGCCATTGTTTACAGAGAGGATTTTGGTTTATAGGGTACAGTTAGGGTGGTTTCAGACAGTCAGGGGCTAGTTATGTAGGTTAAAAGTTTTAACTCAGAAGGGAAGCTGTAAAAGGTTGAAACTCATTGTTTCTTGAAGAGATAGGAGTCCAGATTATGAGGGATGGGCATTTCTTTTTTCTGGAAGTTATTGTCTCCCAGGGTTTCAGTATTCGACTCCTTCTGTCGGGTCGTACTCGACTAAAACACTCAGGGTCATTCCAGGGGAACCAAGCTGCGCAAAATAACCACATAAGAGATAGAAATGCTTTTTTTCCTTGGGGGTGCTGTATGGCTCCTCTGACCTTAAGGGTTCGCAGAAATAGAGAGAGAGAGCATGTACTGACCCTTTTTATTGAGGAGAAGCCATTCAAATGAGGCAAGGGGTCAGGTTTCAGGGGGCTGAGTTCAGCTTCATGTCTGCTGTCAGCAGGTTGACTGACACTCAAGGGCACAGTAAGAAAGGGGACACACAAAAGGTGTTTCCATGGAACATTCTATCCTAAACAGGGCAAGGGGTAATATTACAAAGGAACAGGTGAGCACAGCTGTATCCCATGGGGATACAGGAAGGCGTGCTCATGTATGAAGACACAGTCACTCACATCTTAGAAGACAGGGGCTCTCCAGATCACAGCATGACTGCCGGATGCTGCACAGGTCAGCAGGGGAGTCGGACATGGTCACATGCTAGTCAGCCTCCCACATCCTTCCTTCAGGGCCCCTGTTTTATCAGGAAAGAATTTATTGGAAGGATAATAATACTTGGCTAGTTTCCCTTCCCTCCTCCAGAGCAGCATTGTCTCTCTGCTTTTCTTTGGGGGTTGTTTTGCAGATTATCATTTTCCATAACTCTTCATTCTTTATCTGCTGTCACTGAATAACTTTTTATTTAATAAAAGCAAGGTGGTTACAAAATGTACATAATTTCAGTTATATAAAATCTGTCATTTATTTATTCCTAGGTGTGCGTGTTTGTGTAGGTGGGTAGGATTATGATTTAAAAAATATTTTCCAAATTTTTCACAATAAGTATATATCAGAAAAACATTTTAAAATTGTGTTTCAAAGACTGAGTTGCAAATGGACAATGGCCAGGTATAAAGAGCATCTGCCATAAACATGTTGGGATATGCTGGGACTCACTAAGTTGCTGGCCATAAGGAACAGCAGCCATAGGCATTCTTAGTCATATCTGGTTGCAATTAATAAGGAGCTATAAGGGGCACTAACCATAGGCACATTTAACAATTACTGGTTACAATCAATAGGGAGCACAGCTCCATGGACATGCACAAAGAACATACCCTGTTGCAATTATATCATCTCACTGGACATAACCAATGGACATTGACTTTCACTGGGTGTAACCAATCAGCAATGTACACCATCAACTTGGAACTATATTTAAGTCACTTGTTTTGCTACATTAATGAGGCTGCTCCAAGGACATCAGTGAGACTGGCTGCCTTGCTGTCCATCCCCAGATTGACTCTACCATTCCCTGACGTACATCCATCGGCTGGAGAGAATCACTGGACAATGGCCATGTCTGCTCTTTGGCTAAGAGAAGTTGCGTGGCATCCAAAGTATTTTGGGGCTCCTGGTTGCCCTAGATTGTGTGATTTGCTTGTAGTGTTAATTAGTGTGCATTAAATGCTAGTTGGGGTGCTCCAGCAACCCAACACTTTTTGGATTAATTGTTTATGTTTGATAATTGGTCTGATCAAATATATGCTTGCATTTAAAGACAATCCGCCTCTGAGTAATTATTAATAGCACGGCTCATGACACAAGGCATTATATAACAACAGAACTATGACCTGAAACCTCTGCAAATAACCAGACCCCCCAAATCTCAATTAACTGAGACCTTGACTTGGCCAATAATTGCCTGCTTCTCCATTTTTGCATACCCACTGGCTCGCCTCAGAACCAACCAGGAAAAAAAAATATGCTCCCCCAACCAATGACATAAAACATTTTGGGTTTACTGGACAAGGTGGTGAGTGCTTATAATTTTAGTGACTCAAGAGGCTGAGGCTGGAGGATAACAAGTTTGGGGTCAGCCTGGGTAATTTAGCAAGACCTGTCTCAAATATAAAATAAAAAGGACTAGGGATGTGCCTCAGCGATAAAACACACATGTATCCTATTCTTCCCTCCCTTTCTTTCTTCCTTTCACTCAAACTACGAGGCTCAATGATCTTCCTGCCTAGTGCTGAGACTACAGGTTCACATCACTAAGCATGGCTAAGCAATTTTAAAATATACAATTATTCATGTTTACTTGCAGGATAAGCATATATTGAAAATTTATTTCCTTCATTCTTATTTAGTGTTACTGTTTTGGTGGTTAAAATATTTTGATTTTCATTACAGGTTCAATGATTAACACATGGAGAGTACTGTTGCAACCAAAACAAAACAGTTTTTTTTTTGTGTGTGTGTGTGTGTGTGTGTGTGTGTGAGTGTGAGTGTGTGAAAGAGGGGCGGGGGACGGACTCATTGTTGTCCAGGCTGGTCAGGAACTCCTCTGTATTAGACATCTTCCTGCCTCAGCCTCCCAAGTACCTGATACTATAGGTCAGGCTACCATGCCTGACATATTTTTGTACATTCTTTTATCATGTGAATAGGTTAGATTATTCTTTTATGTTCTTACTTTTTCCCTTTCTCTCTCTCCCTACCTCTCTCCCTTTCACTGTGGATTAGACCCAGGTACACTCTACTGCAGAGCTACATGCCCAGTCCTTTTTTTTTTTTTTTTTTAGTGCTGGGCATCAAACTCAGGGCCTTGTGCATGCAAGGCAAGCACTCTACTAGCTGAACTATATCCCCAGCCCCCAGTCCTTTTCTATTTTGAGACAAGGTCTCACTAAATTGCCCCAAGCTATCCTTGAATTTGTAGTCCTCCTGCCTCAACCTCCTGAGTTGCTGGAATCCCACAGTGTTGTGAACCACTGTGCCCAGCTATTTTTTTCTTTTTTTTTTTCCCTTTAAAAACATATTTATTTTTTAGGTATAGTTGGACACAATGCCTTTATTTACTTATTTTTATGTGGTGCTGAGGATTGAACCCAGGGCCTTGCATGTGCTAGAAGAGTACTCTACCACTGAGCTATAACCCCAGCCCCCCAGCTACTTTATATTTTTTTATTATATTCACAAGTTTCATTTATCCAAATTCCAAGTGATTAAAGCCTTATTGATTACAATCAATTTTAAGATTCCAAACTGGCAAATGTATGAGATTCTCATGCATATCTAATTGCATTATGGCCAAGAATAGTATTTTTGGCAGAAATCTGTTGTAATTATAGTGGTTTGGAATAAATACTAGAAAAGAAATCATGTTCTTCAATTTTGTGGCTTGTTTTGTTTTGTTTTTGTTTTGTACTGGCAATTAAGCCTAGGGGTGCTCTACTACTGAGCTGTATCTATCCCTAGACTTTTTATTTTTGAGACACTATCTTGTTAAGTTGTTAAGAGTCTTGATAAATTGTTGAGGTTGACCTCAATTTACAACCTCTTACCTCAGCCTCCTGAGTTGCTGGGATTTCAGGCTTAAGCCACTGTGCCTGTCTGCACATTTTTAAAATGGTTGTTTTTAAAGAAAAATTAAAAAGAACAGTTGTTCAGTTTCCTTGCTGTTGTTTTGCTGCATTTATTGAGAATGGGGCATAGCAGTTGAGAACAAGGTAAAGTCATAGTGCATGTTATTTTATTTTCTTGTGCTGGGGATATAACCCAGGACCTTGTGCATGTTAGACAAGTACTCTACTACTGAGCCACACTGCTTGCCCTATACTGCAATTTTAAAAACTAGGAAATCCATGGAAAGTAGTTGCCTGGGACTCAAGGTAGGAATACAGACTCCCCACAAATGGCCTGAAGGGTCTTTCAGATGTGATGGACATGTTTCAAAAACTGCCTTGTGGAAATAGTTGCACAACTCTATAAACTAGAATTCATTGGCTTGGACATTAACAAATAGATTTTATGATATATTAAGTTATACCTCAATAAAGCTATTAAATTTAAAAACAAAAAGGCTGGATATGGTGGTTCATGCCTGTGATCAGGAGGCTTTGCAACCAGCCTGACCAGTTTAGCTTGACCCTCTCAAAATTTAAAAACAAAACAAGAGGGTTTGTGGGGCTGGGGTTGTAGTTCAGTGATAGAGCAGCTGTCTAGAATGTGTGAGGCATTGGGTTCAATTCTCAGCACCACATATAAATAAATAAAATAAAGGTCTATCAACAATTAAAAAAAAGAAAAGGAAAAAAAACAGGTTTGTGTATGTGGCTCTGTGAGAGGACACTTGCCTGGCATGTGCAAGACCCTGGGTTCCTTACCAGTGCGGAAAAAAAACAAAACCCAGACACAGAGATATATCTTTTAGTAAAAGCGAGAATGGCCCCATGTGGGGGCAAACACTGGCCAAAGTGATACACTTCAACTCCTGCTGCAAATAAAGTGGTCCTTGTGGCTCAGCCCTGTGTGACTCAGCTCAAGGAGACACCCACTGGTTGCCTGTGGCCCACACTCTGCTTCTAGAACCTAGTGACTTGCTATAGCTCAGGGCTGAGACACATCTATACTTCTGTCCCACTGCCCACTGAGACCTGTAGAGCTCAGGGCTTCTTCTGTCACAAGTCAATTGGTACGATGTCTACATCACCCTTTGTGGGGGACCAAATGTCTTGAACTTCCAGAATGAGGCCTGGGTCCCATTCCTGGCCTAGGGAGAAGTCAGGAGGCCTAAGCAGTTGTTGAAGGCCACTTTAAGGCACTATACACAGTGGGTTTTATTTTTATTTTTTTATTTGAGGGATTAAGGCATTGAGCACAGTGTGATGTTTAGCCAACTGAACTGAATACAAAGAGATAGATGAGGACCTGAGGATGTGCTTTCAAAGTTAATGGTGACAAAGAAGCAAAACCGCATGTAAGGTTAACGTGCCCACCCCTATGCAAGAGATGCTTTCTGCTGAGTTCCCCAGTCAGGAGGCTCAGGCTTAAGGGCCTGATCACTTTGAAACCTGATAAGCTTATGACCCTCCTACCTGGTGCCCAGTGGTAGGATCTGGTACCTGGGCCACACAGCTGTATGAAGATGGCTCTGTGGTTGGAGGACCTAGTGTTGCCTGAGCACAGCATGGGGTGCAAGGATGTGAGGCAAGCATGGGCAGATCTGAGAGGCTCTAACACTAGGAGGGGCAGCCAGGCTCTAGGAGGGTTCCCACCAATTAGAGAGGAGGTGAGTGGCCAGCCTTTTCCTGGGCAGTGGGGTGTACAGGCCCAGGAATGCTTCTAAGGCAACTGGGTCTGCATTGGCCTTTGTGTTTACAATTCATTGCTTCTGGGGAGAATGAGGGTGAAAGGAGAAAACAGGAAGGGAAGGAGGAGACAAAGGCTGGCCCCTACTTCTGAGGCTTCAGCCAGAGCAGTGCAGCTGCAGAGGTCAGCCCAAAACCCCAGACTGCTCATGGTCACTGGAGGTGCTGAATTGTCTCTCCACCTTCTTTTGGTCCTTGATCTTGAGTCCAATGTCTACCTTCTTCTCAAAGAAGTTCACTAATACAGACTCTGTCAGAATGGAGGCCAGGATCTGCTCGAAGGAAATGCACCAGTCCGTGTCCACAGTGCCCCCAGTGCGTGAGGTGGCTGTGGGACTTCGGGCCTCTCCACCCACCAGCACAGTGTCATCTGCAAGGTCCTCGCACTGCAGGGAGCCTGTGCTGACCACTGAGTATGAGGACATGGATATGTCATCTTTGGTTTCATCATCAGACAGAAGCTGCCCCTCGCCACTGCCCCCCTCTACCACCATCTGGCTTTCCTGTGGTGCTTTCCCAAGGTGGGTGTCTCCACCAGCCTTGGCCTGGGGGTCCCCTGCAGCTGGTGGCTGAAGCTCCCGTATTGGGTCCTGATGGGGTTCAGGCGCTGGTAGCTCGTCCTCCTCAGTGGTACTGTTGTGATCCCCGCTGTGGGCACCATCCCTGGGCTTTCTGCCCGTCCGGGTTGAGAACTTCTTCCCTACCTCGCCGATGCGGAGGAGGAGGCTGGCCACTGTGGCGATGGCATGGTACAAGTCTTGCTCCATGGGGTCTTCGCTGAACATGTTGTATAGTGTCTTGCAGAGCTCAATAAATTGCTCCTTAAAGAGAAAAACAGTACAGGGAGATGGTAAAATATGGGTTATATTAGCTGGACTGAGAATGCAGGCCACTCTAATTGGTGCTGGAATATTATCTCCATAAACCTGTGCCTTACCATTCCCATTTTACAGATTAGGATACTCAGACTCAGAGGAAAAGTGACTTGACCAATGTCTTGTAGCACTTCAAAAGCCTTTCTTTCCCAGCTGCCTTTCTCATCAGTAGGCTACAAGGTTGGCTTAGATTGTCCTGGTTTCCGGTTTCTGTTTGTAATTCTGCTAGCTTAGAGAAACTGACTACTTTTTTTTTTTTTTTTTTAGGATTTAACCCCAGGGTGCTTTACCCCGAGCTATATAGCCTTAGTCCTTTTTATTTTGAGACAGGGTCTCATTAAGTTGCTGAGGGTCTTGCTAAATTGCTGAGGCTGGCCAGGAACTTGTGATCCTCCTGCCTCAGCTTCCAGAGTTGATGGGATTACAGGTGTGTGTCACCATGCGGAGCCAGAGAGAGCTACTTTTGTCAGGGCTTTTTTGTTTTTGTGGGGCTGGGAATGGAACTCAGAACCTTGCACCTGCTAGGCCAGTCTTTACCAATAAGCCTGATTCCCAGCCCCTTTATCTTTCTAAACCTAATCGCAAACCTAATCCAAAATTCCTCATCTTTTGGAACTAGTTTGGCTTTTATATATATATATATATATATATATTTTTTTTTTTTTTTAAAAAGAGAGAGTGAGAGGGAGAGATAGAAATTTTTTTAATATTTATTTTTTAGTTCTTGGCGGACACAACATCTCTGTCTGTACGTGGTGCTGAGGATCGAACTCAGGCCGCACGCATGCCAGGCGAGCACGCTACTGCTTGAGCCACATCCCCAGCCCATGGCTTTTATATTTTTAATCAGAAGCAACTTCTATTGTCCTTTACTGAAGGACAGGGGGTGACAACAAGGTGTATGCTTGGTCAGTTGAGGAGGGCTAGGGAAAGCCAGGTTCCAGATCTTAAACATACATTCAGGACCTCTCGGCCTGATGATGGGAAGAAGCCTCATTCCATGGTGCCCCATCTTCAGGCCTGTGAGTGAGGGACTGCTCCAACTGCAGGTCCCATCTGAGCACAGCCAGGGTGAAGTCTGGTCTGAGGGTCATGGTCAGGCTGAAGAACTAACTTTGGTTAGATGTCTATAGTCTGAAACCAGGGTTGGCTACTCCCTGGCTAAGACCCTTGGCAAGGTGCTAAACTCCTAAACTGACAGACCAGCGCGGCCCTGGTCCTATAACACTGTAGCAAGGGAGGTCCTGGCCTACAGAAGGAACAAGTAAGCCTGCTTATGCAGAAGCCGGGGCAGGGCTGGGAGGGAGCTGGAGCATAGTGAACTTTCTTGTCAAAGAAAGTGTGAATTTCTGGCTATTGGAGACTAAGCTACGTGGTGTGTCTCTGGTTTATGGATATTGGTTTAAAAAAGCAAATGGTTAATATGGGAACACCACCTGTATGGGGTTGTGGAGCAACTAGCCTCCTTTCTGGAATCATAACCAACTGTTATCCAGGACTAACAGGCTCTCGAGGGAGGGAAGAGAATTTCCATTCCACAGGAAACCTCTGGAGTGTGGGTGGTGTGAGGCCCCAGTCAGCCAGAATTCTCTAGAAACATCTCTTGTGGGCTCCAATTGAGCCTACCTGGTTCATCTTGGGAAGATCCTTAATTGTCTCCTTCTGAGCCTCTTTCTCTTTGGCCCACATTCGAAGGTAGTGTCGGTAGTCTGGAGGGCTAGTCCCCTTCTCCTCTGTGAGTTGGGAGAAAAAGAGATTAATCTCCATCTGTCAAATGAGAGAAAGAGAGTTGCAGGCTGGAAGCAGAAAGGAATGGGGTTGCATTTTCTCTGGCATGGGACTTACTTGGGCCCTGTTATGAAACACACTGGCATTTGGAGCAGTGGTGATAGAAAAACACCCAGAATACCCATGGTTCTCTCCTAGTTAACTGAAGGAGGTTGGACCTAAGCTGATAAATGTTCCCAAACTCAGCTTCCTTAAGGTGGTGAGAGAATCACATGTAGGCTTGAGAGAGGCAAGTGTGAATGGGGGAGGGCTGCTGGCTCCTAGAGAGGGACTTGGGGGGGGCAGTGGTAGCTGATGAGCTGAGCTATTCACCTTAATGTGCTATCCTGTGTCAAGGCACACATCTGCTATCTCCCCAGGGTTGGGGGCCTCTCCCGCAGTGACAGGGAAGGGACACAGTAAGCAAGGGTACCCAGAACACACCCATCCTGGATCTCTATCATCAGTAGAGAATAGCCTGTACCTCCTCTTTTTTCTTGAATATCCTCATTTCCACTTCCTTCTCGCTCTTCCTGTGATTGTACTTCTGGACAACCAGAAAAACAAAAAGAACATCGAGAAAATTTTTATTCTGATTATAAACCACTGAGGTCCTTGAAAGTCTAGTCTGTGGCTTTATAGAACCAGCCCGGGCCCCAGTGCTGCCCTACTGCTTGGCACGGCCCTGGTCCTATAGCATTGCAGCAAGGGAGGGCCTGGCCATTTCTCTTTTTTTTCCCCCCTCACATTTTTTTTTTTATTGGTGCATTATAGTTGCTGGCCATGTTTTTACTGGGTTACATTTTTAAAAAGACAATTGCTGGGGGTGTAATTCAGTGGTAGAGTACTTAGCATGCTGGAGGCCCTGGGTATATTTCCCCAGTTGAACGCACGTGGGTACACACACACACACACACACACACACACACACACACACACACAAAGAATCCTCATTTCTTCTTTCCTTCCCCTTCCTTTCTTTCCTCCCTTCCTTTATTCTTTCCTTCCCCTTCCTTTCTTTCCTCCCTTCCTTCATTCTTTCCTCTCTTTCTTGGTGGGGGAAGGACTGTAGATTGAACCTAGGAGTGATTTACCTCTGAACTACATCCTCAGCCCTTTTTATTTTTAGAGACAGGATCTTGCTAAGTGGTAGAGGCTGGACTAGAACTTGTAATCCTCCTACTTCAGTCTCTCTAATGGTTGGGATTACAGGTATGCACCATCACATCTTTTGTTTTTCAAAAGAATACATGTCTCACCACATTGTTTTGTAATTAAATGATGATATGCATTATGGAAAAGTCTGAGAACTAATGAATTCTATAGTTTCTGCTAAAAAAAAAAGTCAAATTTAGGGGAAGGGTCCTAATGACCAAATTTGCTTGGGACCACCAGTAGATGAGGGATTCTGTGTATGGGAATCTAGTGCTCAGCACAGTATTTCAAAAAAGTGCCACATTTGCTGGAGTTGGCACACACCATGATGCCTACATGTGAACATGAACTGGGAAGAATCAGGTGGGCTATTCCCTGAGGTCAGGTGGCCAGTGGGGGGAAACTCAGGCAGAGACAGCAGCATCCCACCTCTGAACTACCCTCAAGGGCTGTGTTGGTGGTGAAGGGCATGCTGCTGTGAGCTCAGGAATCTCATCATAGAATGGAGACTCTGCTTCCTGGGGTCCTTGAGAGGCCTGAGGACAGGTCTGTGTACCATGAGTCCTCTTCCAGGAGACTTGGGACAAACTTAGAGCAGCCTTGATTTGCTCAGGCTCCGTGTACAACAGAAGGTGCACCAGGCTCTTAAGGTAATGTTCTTAAAATCAAGGTCATATTCAAATTCAAGTCATTCTTCAGTGCTGTCAGCAGGACTGCCACAGGCATCTTGATATGCATTATTATTATTTACTTATTATTATTTGAAATTGGGAATTGAACCCGGGAGTGCTTTATCACTAAGCTACACTCCTAGTCCTTTTTATTTTTTAAGATAGGGTCTTGCTGAGTTTCTGAGGCTGGCCTTGAACTTGTGATCCTTCTGCCTCAGTTTCCAAAATTCCTGGTGATACATATTATTTTCCATTTTGGGTCAATTCCTTGGTGTGTATAATCTCTCCGGTGAAATTATAAGTACTCTACCACTGAGCTATATCTTCAGGCCTTATGGGGAAAGTATAACACACATGACCAGCTTGATAGCCAAATCCCAGGGTCTGGAATGCCCCCATTATCCTGGATCAGATGTTTCAAACAGGTTTTCTTTCTTTCTTTCTTTTGGTACCAGGGATGGAACCCAGGAGTGCTTACCCACTGAGCCACATCCCCAGCCCTTTTTGTATTTTATTTAAAGACAGGGTCTCACTGAGGGCCTCTCTAAATTGCTGAGGCTGGCTTTGAACTTGTGATCCTCCTGCCTCAGCCTTCTGAACTGCTGGGATTACAGGCTTGCACCACTGTATCTGGCTCCAACAGCCTTTAAATGTGGCACAGGGATGAATTATAACAGGCACTCAACATATATATTTTTCTGTAATGAAAAAATAGGATGAACATATAGATGTTTTCCAGGACAGATCTACCATTCCCTGGATCTCCACTTTCCCACACTGTGTCTGTTTCACATGGGTGCAGTGACAGTATTATGTATTTCTTTTCTATTAACATGATGACACTTTTTGCATGTGGCTGCAGAAGGAATCCCCTGGGTCTGCTTGATGCCCAATGTGCTGTATCTTTATTTACTAACCACCCTGCAACAAGGGATGCTGTCCCCTGTTTTTCACAAGGAGTGGCTGGGTTCTGGGTCCTTCTCAGGACTTATACCCACAGATGGCGGCAGGAGAAGACACTGTGAAGTCTCAGAAGGGTCCCTGGGACATAGCTTCCAGATTTCTGAGTGTTAGGAGGATGAAGTCCCAGATGAAGGGGGTTCTCTGGCCCTCCAGGGACTGACCTTGAGTCTCCCAGGGCAGGAAAAGATCCAGATCTGAGGCCAGAGGAGATGCTGGAGGGGACAGCAGAGAAGGCGCAGAGGGAAGAAAGAGAAGCCAAGGTCCAGGGAGACAGAAAAGCAAGAGAAACAGGAGTTGAGAACATCTGCAGGGACTGACCCCACCCTGGGAGCATGGGCAGGACCCTCCCGGGAGAACCCCAGGGTGGCCTCCTCCCTGAGTCCACACAAGGGTCCCATGGGAAGACTGGTGGCTGCAGAGCCATTGCTGGTCACATCAGGCATCATAGCAGCAGCTCACCTTCTGAGGAGCTGTCTTCTGTGAAATAATGAGTGGCCTCCAGGGCTGACTCGGCTTCTTCTGGGCTCAGAGCTGTGTTGGGAGAGAAGTGAAAAGTGGTGGCAGGAGAAGACACTGAGAGACTCACTCAAAACAAACTTTCTGGAGTCCTAGACAGAGGCCTTGCTTTCCCCACCTGGTATGCCTTACTCATGCTTGCATGCTGATTATAATGTGTGGTGATAGACCGTTTGATCATTAATTGATTAACTGCTGGGACAAGATCCAGTGGCACTTTACTACTAAGCTACACCCCTACCCCTTTTTATTTTTTATTATGAGGGTCTCCCTAAGTTGTTGAGGCTGGCCTTGACCTTGTGATCCTCCTGCTTCAGCCTCCCAAGTTGCTGGGATTACATGTGTGTGTGATCACACCCAGCTGGTAATAGGTTTAATGGTGATGATTAATTCTGGTTGTTTGTTTCTTTCTTGACTTTGACATTGTGGGGTTTTTGGAAGGGTACTAGGATTGAGCCTAGGGCCTTATGCATGTAAGCATGTGATCTACCACTGAGCTATAATCTGGGCCTGACACGGAATTTGAAAACGTAGTACACATGCTAGGAAGCAATGTGATCAGTAAAGTTGGGGTGTGGTGAAAAGCAAGCCATCCTCCCACCCTGGTGGTAATTTGGTTCAGTGTTTTAGGATGCTTCATGTGCCTACAGGCACACATGCAGGCTCAAGCCATTTTGTTTCATTTTATAAATCTCAGAGATGATTTCTCATCAGTACATATGGGTCCTCCTCATTATTTGCATTTACTGGTAGTGTCTGAGGAATACCTGGGGCTGCAGATCCACATGTTTCTGTGGTGGGGGGATTCCCTGTTGTATGGAGGGAGGTCATATGCCTGAATGAGGCAGGCTGGGCCAAGGTAGTTCAGATGGCAGGGCAATCCTGTGTGCCCTCACTCAGAGGATCCAGGCCCAGTGAGATCTGTTTAGCCTGGGCCTCAATGGTGGTGCCACTGGCCAGCTCTAGGTGTGAACCCTTGTGTCAGGAGCCTTTTCAGTTCAGGCGGCAGAGCAATTACCTGGGGAGCTTTACAAATTACAGGTCTGGGTTGCACTTCAGGCAAATGAAGAGGGAGAATTCTAGAGGTGAAGCTCAGCCCTAATATTCTAAGAATCACTCAGGGCCAGTGCTGAGGGCAGTGGCTGACTATGAACTTCTTCAGGACAGGTTCTGAATGAAAATATTTGGGACCTGGTCAGTTCCACCGCTGATCAGAGCAACCCAGCCATCATTTCCATCTGCCTGAGTCAATTTCCTCCTCAGAAAATGGGCATAACCCCTCTTTAGATACTCCTTCAAGTGGTCACCTTGCTGAGACAGGTATTTTCTTGCCGCAAACAGAAACATGGTGGTCATGGCTCTGGTCTGAATTCCGTGAGCCCTTCCCCTTCACTCATAGTTCCTCCCCTTCACTCAGACCATAGCCCACAGGAAATGTTCTACCGCCGCTGTGACCCCATTAGGTTCTAGTACCACTTAGGCTAGGGAGAAGTGGCCTTTGCTTATGGCCATGTGACAAGATTCCTTTGGTGGCTTTGGTGGTGCCCTCAGGATGACCCTCTGGAAATAAGTAAGAACTCTTGAGAAACTTACGAAAAACTAATGAATGCACAGGATCACAGATACAAACCAGAATCTGTACTCATGCATCCTACCACCTGCTGCACTTTTTGGTCAAGTTGCCCATTTGATGGGTAGAGTCCTATTCCTAGCAACTGCCTGTGCTGATGGGATCCTCCTTCCATGGCCTTTCCCAGGTCCTGGTCCTGCTCTCAGACCACCATCAGGCTGGCCTCAGCCCCAGGGTTCCAGCTCCCTCCTCTTCCTTTACACTGGGACCAAAGCCTCTGCTCTGATGATCCCAGACTCCCCACAAGGCTACTTCTGAGTCCAACCATCCCACAGAAGCCTATGTCCACCTTGGGATCCTGAACTCAGGACAAGCAAGAGGCCCCTGTGGCACAGTGGGGAGGCTCTCACCTGGGGGAAGGTGCAGCTTGTAGAGTGCCTTGAGCTTCTCTGTGAGGTCTCCATGGTACATCCCGCCTGTGGAGCAAGGCCAGGGAAGGGCATGCTGACAAGTGGGCTTCAAACCTCACTATAGGCCTTCCTTCCAGCACCTCCTCTTCCCACAGTGTTATGATTTGGATACATCATATGAGACAATGCAAGAACATGCAGAGTTGAAAGGATTAGGTTATGAGAGTCTTAACCTAATCAATGTGTCAATTCACTGACAAGGATTAAATGGGTGGTAACTGTAAGCAAGTAGAGTAGCTAGAGGAGGTGTCCCTGGGGGTATGCCTTTGGGGTTTATATTTTGTCCTTGGAGAGCAGAATGCTCTCTGCTTCCTGGTACCATGTCCTAAGTTGCTTTCCTTTGCCACACCCTTCCACCATGATGTTCTGCATCACCTCTGGCACAGAGCAATGGATTCAGTTGTCTATGGACTGAGACCTCTGGAACTGTGAGCTCCAAATAAACTTTCCCTCCTCTAAAAATTGTTCTTGTAAGGTCTTTTGGTCACAGCAGGGAAAAAGCTGACTAAAACACATGCGTTCTAGTGGGGAACCGCCTGAGGAGGCCTGGCTCCTTCCTGGAGAATTCAGTAGAATGAGACCAGGCCTCCTTTTCCCCAAAGCCTTTCTAGGAGAGTTTGGCTTTCTTCTGGGGACAGCAGCTCCAGCCTTCAGGAGCCCTGGTCTGAGTGAGGGGGGTAAGGGCAGGAGTCCCATTGGACCCTAACATGTCTCCAGTGGGTACACTGCTCTTCCTTTATCAAGGGCCAAGGGCTCAAGGGCACCCCATGCTCACTGCAAGGGAGACAGATACACCAGGATCAGTATTTAGAAAGCTCTCAGAAAGGGTTCTGGCAGGATCAGGGCCCTGGTAGGTCCTGGGGGCACTCACTCATCCCCGTCACGAACTCCTTGAAGTTGATCAGGGAGTCCTTGTTTTGGTCCAGGAGCCGGAACATGCGGCCTGCCAGCACAGGTGTGTGAGAACCACAGGCCCATGGTGTCAGGCTGGCAAAGAGCTCCTGGAACTGGCCTGCATCGATCCGGTACTGCTCCAAGTAGGGCAGGCTGGGGTCCCGGCGGACAGCTGCTGTGTGGCTACTGCCCCAGTACTGACTTGCCAGATGCTTGGCCTGTGGGGGATACAGTCTGGTGAGATGACCTCTCAGCACCTGAGCTGTTAGATGGTCAGGCTGGCCAGGTTATCTGCCCTCCTCCTCTGTCCAGGTCTGCAGAGCCCTGGGGATGGGTGAGCATGGCCAGATACTTCAGCATCTCACAGAACCCCTCATGTTGGTGCACTGGAGAAGCCAAGAGACAGACACTTGTACAACCTGTGAGGGGTGGATCCACTGCCACTGTTCTGACCCTAAGGCAACAGTGCAGTGGTCAACTTGGGAAATGATCCCAAGGCAGCTGGAGGGGCAGATGGAATCTGGCAACTCTAAGACAAAGGAAGTGTGGACCTTGTTGTCTTTGCCTCCTCTTCAGCACTCTTTCCCTGCTTCTTTTGTTAACAGCACCTGGAATCTTTATGGGGAACTCCTCCTGACCCAGTCTTATGCCATGGGATTAAAGGGTTAGTAATCAGCCCTGTTGCTTGGGGTGGGCGGAGAAGGCACATGACTCACATTTGGCCGAGCAGCCAAATCATCCTACTAGCACCTAACTTGAGTCACTCCAATAATCAGCCCTGGGTCTTTTGCTAAAATCACTTGTAAAGAAATTTTTTTCCATGGGGGTTATTGACAGGAAGATCCTGGAGTTGCTGATGGCAGACAGGAAGAACAGTCTAGAGGATATCAGAAGTTGAGTAGCAAGACAGTATGTTTGAGTATCTGAATACAGCCGTGCCTGAAGCTGTGAATCCTAGACTTTTCAGTTAAATGAGCTAAAGCATGCCCTCTTACATGTTAGCTGGCTGGAAAGGATTTTTCTGCCATTTAAAAGAGTGTTCTATCTAAACTCCAAGAAGGATTAAATTTCAACACATGTGTTCATGCTAACTGCCTCTGAGAATGCTTTTAAATGTTATTTCTCTTCTGGCAGGAAGCTGCTGTGCTGAGGGTGCACTTAGGGGATTAGGATGGGGGACTGGTCTTGTTCTTGCTCTTAGTTATCACCTTAAACACCATGTAAAGGTCCTCCAGCTCTTCAATTGAGAAACCAATATCCCCTGGTATAGCTCGGACCTAGAAGGAAAAAGAGATAGGCTGTACTGGTTGATTTGCATGTTCCTGTTATAAAAGAAACATGATGCTTGCTGAGACACTCCTCATGTGGAAGGGGTAAAGGCATAGACTGTCTTCTTGGTATCATCAGCTGGCCAAGAAACGGAGGATGGTCCATTCAGGAGAGAGGGTACAGCCCCCATGCTCATCCCTTGCCACCACCAGCCAGTCAGTTCACACTCCCTGAGCTCCTTCCTAGGGTTCGTAGGGACCTGAGGAGAGTCTTTTCTGAGCATCCAGTCAAGGGACACAGGGTGAGGATGGTCATTAAGCTCTTGCCATCTGGATTCCTGCGTAGGACGGGTTCTTTGGAAGGGGTCCTGGCACGTGCCAATCAAGTCTGTTTTTTCTTCAACTAGTCAGGGTCACTCAGTTTCTGTTGCTTGTGATCAAAGTACCCTCAATGGCCTGAGGAACAGCATTGGGAATATGGAGGCAAAGTAATAACTCCCTACCTTTGCAGGGGCAGAGATCATGAATAGGTCCTGCAGCATGGGTGGCAGGAATAGTCTGACTCCCCCCAGAGAGAAGGCTTTTAGCAAAGGCATGCAGTGTTGGGTAGGGAGAGGGTAGCTGAGTGTTACCATCTGGGGGCAGAGGCAGGGAACACATGGCAAAGCCAGGCTGGGAGGACTTGGCCCAGAAGGTGCTTGTCCTATAGGGTGCAGGGTGAAAGAAATGCTTCCCACTTACCAACCATGAGCAGGACCTCTCCTTACTTCCACAAATTTTTACCTACACTCCTGGACTCCAATTTCATGCACCACCCTATCATGACTTAGGTATCAACGCAGCACAAGGGACAGGGCACAAGTAGGGCTGTGCACCAGTCCCAGGAATCAGTCTTCAGGGTCACCCACCTGGCCCATCCCTGCCCTGTCAGTTACTGTACCACACTCCTCTTGGCCGTGTCCTCCAAGGACTGGATCACTTTCAGTCTCTGCTTAAACCGCATCTGTTCAATGTCGTCGGCCCTCAGGTTGCTGAACTTCTACAGGCCAAAGGTGAAGCAGTGAGATCAAGTGCAAGCACAGGGCACTGGGCCGCACCCCTCCCACTTATGTGCAGCCACCTGAAACCAAAAGGCCAGAGAGAATGGCCTGGCCGAACCAGCTCTGCTGACCTCATAGGACATTTTTAGGAGGTCAAAGATGTCCACCTCTGCAGGAGGGTCATCTCCACTGGTCAGCAGGGCATGGAGGTGTGGAATAGGAGGAGAGACACTCTGCTTATTGATCACATTATCCAGGTATCTGTAAAGATTAAAGGACAGAAGTCTAGACCATCCAGTGACCACAGTATATCTCACCCACAGCGATGGAATGTACTGACAACTCCTGATAAGGAGTGTGCTGAGGACTGGTAACCCTTCAGGAGGGCAGCAGTGTGCCCTGGCAGGTCCTCTGGTCAAGCTGGAGAGCTTCCCTCAAGGCTTCACCCTGTAGGAGGCCTAAGCACTGACTCTGAGGATGCCTGGCTATCCCTGGGGGGCCCCTGGTTGGACACTCTCCATGAGTCCAGCTCCTACCTCCTTAGAAGGATGATATGTTTCCTCTCTGGGGTTGATGGGGCCTGACCAAGAAGAATCAGGGAGTCCCAGGAGAAAGTTGGAGGGGAAGCCTGTTATGGTAGTACCTACAGTGGCCCAGGGAACCTGGCTTCTTCAGGAACACAGGCTCATGGATAGGGTCCTATTTTGGCTAGCCAGCCTACCCTAGCCAGGACTTCAAGCCCTCCCAGTCTCTCTTGAGATAAACATGACACTTGGGTAGGAGAGGGTAGCTGGTCCCTCCATACCCACTGGCCATGGCCCATCCCCAGATACATGTTCCTGAGAAGCTTGTTATGTTCACTGCAGAATATGAGTGTTCTGACACTAGGGGACCAGAGTATGGGCGGTGTGTATGTATAATTCTGCCAGGTCGGCAGGGTTCCCATCAATAACTAGCCTGACTCAACAGGCAAGTGGCAGTGTCCCACATGGTCCCTGGTAGCTGGGAATGTTCTAGGCTGGGCAGATATGCCCATAGACCAGCAGGACTGTACAAAGTTCAGGGCATGGGCCAGAGTGAGGTTGGGAAGGAGCTGACCTTGAATTTATGATCCTCCTGCCTTAATCTCCTGAGGCAGGCACTAGGATCACAGGCATGTGCCACCATGCCTAGCTCAGATAGTTCTTTTGTATAGAAGACCAAATGTGATATAGAGTCCCCTAACCCCCAGGGGAGGGACAGGGTCAGATCTGATTAGAAAGAGTCCTGTGGGATGCTGGTATGTGAGGAACTAGAACAGAGAAAACCATGCAGAAGTAGACACAGGCCCCAGGAGGTCTCATGGGCTTGGGATGAGGCAGTAGGGATGGAAGGAAGAACTCAGATCTCAGAGAGATTCTATGAGGGATGGGATGTGGGCAGCAAGAGGAGAAGGAGGCCAGGAAGCCCCTGAACCTTAGCCATGACCCAGTGGGAAGGCTTTCAGCTACTTCAACTAGCCAGAGTAGGCATGTTATCTGGGAGTGGGGAAGTAGAGGTGCTCTAAGTTCAGGAAGATACCACCAGGACAGCTTTGTGGAAATGAGAGACCCAGCCTTTGCTAGAAGCTGGAGGCCCTTCTGTGCTGAGTCTCCTGGCCACCATCAAGAATGGTCATCATCATCTGAGATAAACATGACAGCTCTGGGTTACTCTTCCAGAAAGCATCTCTGACCACACAAGAGTGGTGGCCTGAAGACTGGTGTTCTCGCTACTTCTCATCTTTTCCTTTGTCTTAGCACTTATCACTCTCCAAATGCTATTTGGGCTCCCACTAGGAAAACTCTCTCTCATCTCCAGGGTGTACCTGGGCCTAGTTTTGGAACTTGGTGGACACAGTCACTAAATGTTGACTAAGTCGCACCCAGTGCTAATGAGAGGTGGGGTTCTACCACCAGCTTCCCAGCAGCAGGAGGGGCCTGGCTTGGTCACCTGCCCAGCACGGTCATGGCCTCGCCCTCATCACTGCAGCCCAGCAGCTGCTCCATGTTGGCATCCAGGACAGCCAAGGCCACCTGCAGGATAACTTTGATGCCCTCATAGAAGAAGCAATCAACAATGACCACAGCGCTCTCAAAAGGCATGACGCTTAGGAAGAGGGTGAGGAACCAGGAGAGCGAGATGCTGGAGATCACCCCCAGGTCCTGCATCTTCTCTGACAGCCGAGGCAGGACATCCCTTGTGAGCTCTTCAAAGATGCCTTGATCCACCAGGGCTCCTGTGGAGGGAACAGGAAGCCAGACATGATCCCACCCCTGGGGCCTCAAGAAAGCCCACCTGGTCTCTGTCCACTCCTGGCCCTGCCAGAGGGCTGGAGGGAGATGGGGGGTAGAAAACAAGAAAGAAAAAGACTTCCAAACCACCATGTGAAAAAGATTGTTTGTTCCCCTAGATTGTTTTCTTGGTATTTGCAGGAAACTGGCTCCATGAATCCCTTAGATACTAAGTCTCAGATGCTCAGGTCCTTATAGAAAATGGCATAGTATTTGCATAGAATCCATTCTAAGTTCATATACTTTAAATAATCTCTAGGTTACTTATAATACCAATATAATGCAAATGCTTTGAAAATAGTTGTTATACTGTATTGCTTAGAGAAAGAGGACAAAAAAATCTATATGTGTTCTGTAAAGATGTAATTCTTTTTTTCCAAATACTTTTGATCAATGGCAGGTTGAATTCACAGATGTAAGATTTGTGGATACGATGGTTGACAGTACTTGGATGTTCCTTTGGGTAAGTATTAATTTCTTCCCCCAAAGTGTCAGAAGTAAACAGTGGCCCTGGTGAACACTGCCTACTGTTCTGTTTGTGAATAGATACAAATCTAAAGGAACCTGTTATAGTTTGGATGTGATGTATCCTTGAAAAGCTCCTATGTAATACAATGTGAGAAGGTTTAGAGGAGAAATAATTGGGTGTGAGAATCTCAACTCAAACAGTGAGTTAATCCACTGATGGGATTAACTGAATGGTAACTAAAGGTGGGTAGGGTGTGGCTAGTGGAGGTGGGTCATTGAGGATGTACCTTTGGGATTATATGTTTTGTATCTGGGGAATAGAATCTCTTTCTCTGCTTCCTGATCATCATATTAGCTGTTTCTCTTCATTACATTCTTTTGCCATGATGTTCAGCCTCACCTTGAGTACTGAGAAATGGAGCTATATATGGACTGAGACCTCTGAAACCATGAGCCCTCAAATAAATTTTCCTCCTCTAAAATTGTTCTTCTCAAGTCTTTTAGTAACAGCATTGAAAAACTGACTAAAACAGATCCCAAAAGTGGTAACTCTAAACCCAAAACAGAATGGGAAGGACATCTCAGAATTACAGACATAGATACAAGTAATGAAATACCTTTGTGAGTCCATTCCCATTTAATGATACAGATTTTATTAGATATAAATTCATAATAGTTGAAGTTGGGCAATAGGTACATAGGTAAGTTATACTCTCTAGGTGTATCTCTCTCTTTCTCTCTCTCTCTCTCACACACACACACATACACATAAACACAAACACACCCCTGAATTCAACCTGCCATTGATAAAAAATATTTGGAAAAAAAGAATTGCATTTTTACTTAACACATACAGATTTTTTCTGTCCTTATTTTCTAAACAATACAGTGTAACAACTATTTTCAAAGCATTTGCATTGTATTGGTATTATAAGTAATCTAGAGATTATTCAAAGTATGTGTGTATGTGTGTGTGTGTGTGTGTATATATGTACGTATGTGTATATATATATATATATATATTTTTTTTTTGTACTAGAAATTGAATTCAGGGGTCCTCTAACACTGAATTACATCCCACTCCTTTTTTTTTTTTTTTTT